TTAGGTCCGGTCACATCACCTACTTTTGTACCCAAGGTACAGCCACACCACATTGGTGTGGCAGGTGTGTATGTAAATTACACACCTTCGTTTGCTTGCAGTACTGGGCTTAAAAAGTTGCCAGAATGTGAAAACTTATCCAGTGTTGGCTCAAAACATTGTCAGTGTCTATGGCACTATCACATTGGTGTGGCAGGTGTGTATGTAAAATACACACCTCGTTTGCTTGCAGTACTGGGCTTAAAAAGTTGCTAGAATGTGAAAACTTATACAGTGTTGGCTCAAAACATTGTCAGTGTCTATGGCACTAGCTCTATGATATTCAAGGTAGCATTCTGCCAGTACAATTAGCCACAAATACTGCGTTTTATTAGGATAATTAACTTACGCGCCAAAGGACCTTGTAGTTAGAGCGAGATACCGTGTACTGTCTTACTAAATAGACCTACCAGATGGCATGACGAGCACTTTCTGTGTAGAAATAGAATGTGCAATACGTCCGGTTTGGCAGCCAGTTGGGCAAGTTAATAAAGATCTTAAAAAAGTAAGCAAAGCTCATAAATCAATCAGTTATAGAGTTCACTCCAACAAACTTCCAATAATGCATAAGAAAAATTCCGATACGGAATAAATCGTCGTCCAAATCTGTAAATCTGATCGTAATTTTCCTTTTTTCTACTAATTTGCAGGTTTATTAAGTTTCGTTTAGCATCGTATTCCATGACTGCCACCGAGATGAAGATATTGTTAAGTGCTAAGGAACATGTGCTTGTTGCATTAACGCTGACACTCGTGCCCTTTGTATTGGTTGCCTTCTTTTTTGTAACACAAAAGCGTGCTACGATTCCTGAATTTCAAACTGATCCAAATATGCCGCATATTAACGATTGGTTCATTAGTATTGGCTTTTCATTTCTTATAATACTGCTACGGTTTGCGTTTTTAAAAGTAGCAAAACCCATTGGTCGTCTTGTCTTATCGCCTTCGAAGCGTGTTCAAGCAGATCGCGTTGAACGGTTTGCTACAGTCTTGTTCAAGTTTATGTAAGCTATGACTTTCTTTTATGGATCTATAGAGATAGAGATCGAGATATAAACTGCTCTTATTGTAATATGCTGCTTTCTTGTCTTTAGATACTTTACTGTTATTACAGTGGTAGGCTATTTTATTATTCGCGATGAAAAGTGGTTTCCACCTGTGCTTGGAGGAAAGGGTGTGATTCGTGAATCGTATTGGAATCTAAACAAAGCTCCGAGCTTTGCACTCAAGTATTACTACTGTCTGCAGCTTGGCTACCATTTTCACAGCTTGTTGTACATGCTGTTTTTTTCGCCCATGCGAAACGATTTTGTTGAAATGTTGCTGCATCATTTGGTGACTATTATCCTCATTGGAGGATCACATCTTGTAAATTACTGCGCCATGGGATCGCTTGTGACGTTTACACATGACATTGGTGACGTGACAGCCTGTAAGACAAGTTTGTTGATTTATACGTACAAGAGCTTGGATGACTAACGTCGTCGTGTGTTTTGTTTGAAACGCACATGAATAGATGCCATCAAGTCAGTTGTGGACACTGGCAATACGCCACTGGTCGTTGTTATGTACTTTGTGCTCCTGCTTTCGTGGGCATACACGCGATTATACGTGTATCCGTTTCACCTGCTTTATAATGTTATTGTTGTAAGTCGTGAGCTTGACCCGCATATGGTCAGTATCTTCTTGCACCCGGGCTGCGCGCTGATGTCCATGTTGATGGTACTGCACGTGTACTGGTATGGACTTTTTCTCGTCATGGGCTACACACTTTTCCGTAAGGGTCTAGCAGAAGATATCCAGGACAAGTGTGCGGATCTAGGAGAGGAAGGAGAAGCTACGACAGCTCTGAAGACTACGAATCTTAGCTCGAGCGTCAAAGCGAAGAACGAGTGAGAACGAGGTGCATCGTTGTCATGGTTATTCAAACGACTGTTTTTTTCTACGCAGTCACATTTGCCTCGACACCATTAATGAACACGTTTCATTTTTCAATGCAGTTGCGTACTGAACAGTAATCCATGAGTCAGTCTTTTGTGATAGGCAGTGCCATGGTAACGGCAATCACTATCTAAATCAGCACTTGAAGTCAACGTGATACAGTGTTTTCGGCTTTTGCTTGTAAAAACAACTTGATGAGGAGCTAAACATGGAAAGCTCAAAAAGCAGTTGTTCACAAACGTCTTCGCGCAACACGTTCGTGTTAGCTTGTATATAACGTCAACCATCTTGCAATCTAGATTATTATCGGCAAAGCAAATGACTGGCTTGTGGTCGTGTGCCAATATCACGCTAGACTTTGGTCCGTACGCGATGACACTACTTAATCTTGACGTAAACGTGCCACAAACATGGAATTTGGGCTTTCTTTCAAACTCACGAGAAAAAAGGGAGTGCAGCAAGTCCATCCATACCATTTTCGAACTAAATTAGCTGCGAACTGCACAGGAAAACACTGAAGTTAGAAGAAGCCGATGTGGCTTTAGTCGTCTCACCATACTCAATGCGGTCGTCATGGAGGTGCTGTCTTGCTATAACTGCACGAAAGCCGACAACTTTCATCACGTCGAATTCATGCAGCAGCTTTAGCCGAAGTTATCGGTTTCTTTCGCTTCGGCTGCGGCTGCGGCTGTGACGACTTTAGACGCGGTACTGCTTTTGCTTTAGTCTTAGGGCTATTTGACTGCGTAGGAGCACATTTGAGCAAAACCTTTCTCTCTTGGCTCGCACCTTGCAAGGCCAAGACGCTGCTCCTACTGCCCAACGCTGCAAAACTCTTACCCGCTGCCTTTCGAGCAGCCTTGCGCTCTTTCACTTTTTTTCTGCTTCTTACGTTTGTCTTGATTGTCACCAGCTACACTCGAGACATCACGACTAGCAGCGATATTGGCTGTCTTCTGTCCACACTTGTCGACCACAGCTCCTTGATTCTTCTTGGACGTCATTTGCTTACCTACAACGCCCAGTGTTGTCCCAATCGCTTTCTGTAATTTTTCAGCTTGCTCTCGCTCAATACTCGCCAGGATACAACGCTGCTGCTCCAAAAACTGTTGATTTTCCTGAAACTTTTGCACATCCGCCAGCGACACGCGATCTAGAGGGCGGAATAGCCCCCAGCAGTTCACCGTTGACTGCGGCTGCTGCGCGAGAATGGTGTCGCCACGAAGTCGCGCCTTCACCTCGCGCTCACGAGCTGCGACTGCCTCTTCCTCTTTCTGGATCTCCTTTAACGTCTTCGGTGGCGAAAAATTGTTCTCAGAAGCAAGTGCTGCATCCGTCAACGAACTGTTCCGAATGGGCGTAGCTGATATTGACCGCTTGCCACGAGTAATTTGATGCGCGGGCTGCTTCAGAAACGCATCAAGTGAAAATGCTGTCACTTATTTGTGCTCGATACCGTCGTTGTCCAGCATACATTTGGCTCGTATCGATATCGGCGAAATGGAACACCATGACGATGCCGACGGGTGGCCGACATCGCTCCCTTCACGGTGCGTCATAGTACTACTTTCCATGCTACCCTTACGCACTGAAGATTTTGGTAACGGGAAAAAATGCTTCTGGCATCGCATATGACGCAGTTGGGCTGGGACTCGATAATTGCGATGTTAGAGATACACTTTCTCTGTGGGTCATCACTGATGTATTGTTTTCCACTGCTGTGGATGTGGTACAAATGCCCCAAGGGTTATCCACGTCGTGCGTAGATGTTGCAACAGTCTTGCTCGACAAAAATGACGACAGCGGCATAAACTTGTTGCTCTTTCTCTTGCATTGTCCACTTGGCTTGCTAAGCGCCGCCGTCGACGTGGCAGAAATATCTTTCGCAACATCGGTGCCTACCTCATTCTCTTTTTCCCGATTCAATAAAGGGGACATCTCGATTTTGCGCGAGCTTTTAGATAGCTTAGCAGTCTTTTTTTTCCTTCGCGTCATTTTTCCACACATCAACAAAGGCTTTAGCAATTGTTATTTCCCTTGCCACCTATTCCTCCATTGGTGGAAGCATGAGATCAAAGAGCGTCTCCATTCGTTCCCACCCTACTGCATCTAGTATAGCGTCCCAATTATTTTGCATATATTCCAGGCAGTAACTTTGCAATCGAAGCGCAGCGTAGAACTTAGCATATCGCCACACCAAAGCACAGTTATTGACAGTTATATAAGCAGTAATCTTTTGCTCCACAAGCTCTAGCAATGAGGGCACTACATCTCGCACAGCAACTTCTGCCGTGGCGCCGAAGTCTGGGCACAAGGGTGCCAACAACACTGCCGTGTGATGATGACCAGATGCCACCGATATAGCTTTCTTCACACCAACAACGCGTTTGGGACTTGGTTGCCACGTGTTACCACGCCCGTGACCCAGCACACCCTGTTGGCCGCAGCCCCACGTCACAAGATCGCCTTGATGGGTGGCGACAGCACAATAATCCTCAAAAGCGCAAACAATCTTCACAGGACCATATCTGCTTAAAACCGCTGCCTGCGGTGCACTCGGCGACGGAGGTGCCGCTACACTATTTCCTGGTGAGCTCGTATGCCAATCACGGTGGGTGCGGTTAGGTTGGTGCGAGAGCGCTGGCACATTGTGCCCCCAAGTAAAAACTGAACCACAAGCACTCAACGCAATTGAGTGATTTTGAGCACATGACACGTCCACAATGTCTAAGCCACGCTGTATGCACAATGACACCCATGCGTTAAACATGACGGCTCCACTCATATTGCAAACAGACGGAAAGTTTACGCGACTAGGTCGGTATGAACCGTAGCCAAACTGCCACACCTGACCAAAACTGTGACCATTGTGAGAGCAGCGCAAATACTACGCATGTGTGCCAATCTGATAGCGCAACTTTCTCAGCTCAAACGGACTCGTAATCGCCGTACACAGAGCTCAAAGGGTGAAGCGGGCGCAGTGCATTGACTCTATGTGGAGTTGCATCAGCTTAATCCGTGCCACAGCCTTCTTTGCGTCCCATTTGACCTCGACGATTGCTACCCCAGGTGTACACAGCGCCGTCGTCCGCAGCAATAGCCGCAGAATGACATCCAGATGCTGCAATGTCAGTAGCCACACGAAGCCGAAACGCATTTACACGCTTAGGCGCAAAGCGGCTTTGCAAAGAGCTAGACTTCTTTGGATGTCCCAGCTGACCAAAGCTGTTGGATCGCATGGAAAGACTTGACCGGTTTTTGAAAGGGCCATGGTATGATTTTCACCTGCAACAACCTTATTTATTGGCGACATTTTCAGCGACGTTACTCGTGCAGGCTTGATACGGCTGCTTCCAATGCAGGATAAGAAACATGCTGTAAGCGACGTAAAAACGTACGAGAAATAGATTACACTTACTCATATTCGTCTCCAAGGCCTAGCCGACCGCCTTTGCCAAAACCCCACACAAAGCACTCTCCTGCTGCACTTAGCGCAATGGTGTGGTACTTACTAGCACTTACTTGAACTATTGGCGAGCTAGTGGGGAGATCAACAAGCCGAGGAGTAACTTGTACATCAGCATTTGGTAAATGATATCCCAGCTATAAAGTTGTTGTTGCAAGCACAAAAGAATAAATCAAAAGTCAGCTTTCAACGCAGTATTTCGAGTTCAAACACAAAGCCCATTTGTTTTACCCGATACTCATATTTACCAAATGTGTAGACAAGACCCGTATCAATGAATTCTGCAGCTTTTACAAGCTCTTGTTTGTGCAATCTTGCCAAAGTAGCTGCATGGAGCTTTTCTGGGCATAATCCAGTGTTTCATGCAGATATTTCCGTAAAAAGGTTTTTTGCCAAAACGCGTCAGTGCGTGGAGAAATAGCGACGCTTATAATCAAAACAAGATAAATACATACACACACCGAGACAACTCGTCCATTAGTAAAGTTGTAAATACACTGTATATTGTATAGAAAAACATGGTCAAAGTATACGACTTACTAGATAAATGTTGATAATAGAGACTGCGATGAAGTGGCGTCATCCAGACTCGTGCTCAGCAATAATATCCAACCCCACGTAAGGATAATATCCAACCCCACGTGAACATAATATCCAGTTTACGTAAGGATATAATCCAATCCATGGCAGGATAAAATCCAACCCACGTCAAATTTGTGTTTTCACTACGTACCTCGTCTGCAATAAGCACATTTGGTCCTAAGAAAGAAGTAGCTGCACTGCTTCATTATTACCCTTAGCAGCAGCAATATGCAGTGCTGTCTCGCCATAATCATTACAATCATCAGAAGGTGCTGCGTCTTGCAATAATTGCACGAGAGCTGGCGTCAAGTCAGAATTCTTAGCATTGGCCCATAGATCCAGCGAGTGTGTTAGCATTTGTGACTATATTGTATCGTTTTGAAATTACTTCACTCTTCTCTTTTCTTTTATTGTTACTTCAGCCAGGGTTTTGATGAGGATTTGGATTTTGAGACGCAAAAACGGTCAGGACACAATAGTTATACAAAACAGTGTCTAGTGTAAGATACTGTATTGTTTTTGTTCATGCAACAGTCTCAATGTCCTTTTTCTTGTTCCTCTTATGAAGCATTGTACTACTGTAATTTTATAGGAACTCCCTCACAATTTCATAAATATCGAAAATAGTATGTACATATTAAAAAAAATCCACAAATCCAAATATTGCAATAGAATCGAATGATCACAACATCTGATGATAAATTTGTACGACCAGTCCGTCCTTTATCTTGTGAAATCGAATGGTAGTGCACTTGACGACAGTCTCTCTCCTTCTCTTTCATCATCACCACCACGTCTTGTTCTTCATCTTCTACTAAAATGACAATCAAGTCATCACGTGCATCGGCATTTGCATCCCCTTCACCTTGTTTTTCCAGTGAAATATCAAGCTTTCTCGATAAGTTAGAGCTTTTGAAAAAAGACACCACGGAATTTGTACTCATGCGTACAGGTCGTGCTCAACTGGAGAATTACATGAAAAGAGAATGGAAAGGACCGGAAACATCATTTGAAGACAGGATTGATCGAGATTCCGTACAATGGGAGACACATTTAACGATAGCACGTGAAGAGAAGGATGTTCGAGTCAAGAAACGTTTGATACAGTCTTCGGAGTTGATTCCAGGATTGAAAGGTGTCTATGATATTCAAGTCGGTAGAGCAGGAAGACCTGATGATAACGTGTATTTCAAGTCAGCGTATGCTCGAGAATGGTTACCACGAGGTAATTGTATTGCGGAATGGCAAATACAAGAGAGAAGGTACTATTTTCCACTCATACGTGGGTATCGAAAGTTTACAGGTCAAGAAGATGATGGTGAATTGTTGAATGAAACCGAGAATCGTATTGAAAAGAAAGTGGTGAGTTTCTTTAGTAGACCGAAAACACAAAGTAAATGGGTCATTGCGACAAGTAAAGAGAATGGTGAAGCGGGACATTTAGCTGTGTTGAAACGAAGTGACGGAGAATTTGTCTACGTACTTGGATCGAAGAATACGCATTTGCTTGCACAGACAGTCGAAGATATTGAACGTACAAGAGTGAATCAACAACAAACTGATAAGAGTGACCCGTATTGTGCTGCAAGACCCATTGCCACTGCTATTTTGAGAAAGGTGTTTGGACTTGTTCCGGTTCACCGGAAGCTGCTTTGTGAGTTCTTGTGGCAGACACGTGCCACTGCATCTTTCGAGGTACTGTGTCCAAGCCATCAACACGTACAGCTTTTGGACAATCTGGATGAAGACACTCCTGTCTTTTATGGTCTCTCACTCATGACCTTGAACTGTGTCGAGGGTGCTGAGATTTGCGTGAATCCCGTGCTGTTGTACGAGTTCATGGGCGCGCTTGGAGTGCGCACCGTGACCTACAAAGTCTTTGATTATAATGCCGATGCCTTTAAAGCTGAGCTTGAACTGAGCAAGAGTGCTTACCAGCATGAAGGAGTCGTACACTTGTTCACAGATGCAAATGCCGCCGTGATAGGCATGCAGAAGCACAAAAGTATATGGTATGTCTGTTTGCGTGCAATTCGGGAGAAAGCCAAGTCATTTTGCCGCACGCTTCGTTCGTTTGAGCCACCAAAAGACAGCGCTAAGCCCAGGACCCATTCTCCGGAAGAAGCGCTTCGTACAGCCAGAAAGTCGATGCAAAAGCGCTTTACAGCCATTACAGGATTTATGCAAATATCGGACGAAGTTGCCAACAATTATGAGAAACTTGGCGAGCAGTTCCTCGAATACCTGTTCGAGAACGAGCTTTTTCGTGGAGTTGCGGCCAATAAAGACGAAGAGGAGAAGTGCAAAAAGATTGCGAAAGACGTTGCTAACCTATTTCCGATAGTATGGAAGAGGTTCCTTGACCACACCGGTCTAAATGATGCAATCAGCAATACACATAAGCAAAACCTGCTGAAATTGAGTTATAACTTGCCAAGAAAATAACTTACAGCTGGCTACTTTTGTCTTCCCACCACCATGTTTTTACTGTGCCGTCATGAGAGCTGGAAGCAAGCAGTGATTGCTTTTCGTGCCATTGGGCGTTATAGGTCACGCCGCGGTGGCCTGCGAGCCGCTCCAGCAACTTACCGGTAGCCACTTCCCAAACATAAACATAGCCGTCCTCGGACCCACCCAATACGAAACTTTCACGCGGACCAAACGATGCGCGTACAATGTTTTTCGCAGTATTTTGGTGGCCCTTAAAGCGCTGAAGCGGTCGTTGCTCTGCGTGGCGATTTCCCAAAAAAGTATTGCTTCCGGCGTTAATATTTCCGCTTGCGCTTAGGTTACCAATGCTTCCTATAGCAGCAGTTCCTGAGATACCAGCGCCGTTGACTGCAGAGTAACCTGACCCGTATCCGTTGCCAATAGCTCCATTCCCCCCCATCGAGCCATTGCTAAGTGATCCGCTAGAACCGCCGATAGATGTCCCACTACTTAGTCCTGTCGTCAAGTGAGCACGTGGAGTGTGAAGCATACGTAAGTCCCACAGACGATTGCTGTTATTGCGTGAGCCGCTCAGCAACGTATAGCCGTTGGAAGCCATTGAGATAGAGGTGACCTCGCCTAGCGTCTGGCGCAAAGTGTGGACACATAGCCCACTCAGGATATCCCACAATCGAATTGAACCATCTTTTGATGCGCTCACGACAAAATTGGCATGCCTGTTAAACTGGACATCGCAAACAGATGCAAAGTGACCACGGAATGTCTTCACCGCCGCGCCGGTGGCAATGTCCCACAAACGCACGCACTGATCGTAGCCACCAGTCACCAAGTGTGTCTCGCTGGGATGCAAGTTTACTGTGTATACATCTCCACCGTTTGGACTCGTGAGTGTTGCCAGACATTCGGCTGATGTCACCGAATAGTTGTGAGGCAGTTTCGAGGCAGCAGCAATCGCAAACGTGCCTTCTGAGGTCGCAGCAGCTGCAGCAGCTTCAACAGTAGACTGCATAATTTTGTCTACGCGCTGGTCATTCAGAATATCGTTTGAGTCACTTTGAGCCTGTTGAGCAGCAATAAGCTCCGCTAGCGCAGCTCGCAAGTCCCATACTTTCACAGTACCATCACCCGAACCTGAATACAGACGCTCTCCAGATGCACTCGCCGTAAGATACCAAATCCTAGACGAGTGACCAAGCAAATCTCTGCTCCATTGTCGACAAACAGTGCCCGCGGGCTTGTCGATTTCTTCGTCTTTGCTCTGTTGATGCGCTTCCAAGAATTCGGTTGGCCAAAGTTTTATCGTAGCATCACTGGAGCCTGAAGCCAGAAGTTCGCCATCCGTTCCCACAAACGTGACAAACTTTACATTTTGCGAGTGGCCAACATACGTGCTTTTTACAGCATTCGGTAGTACTTCGCATTCGAAATCTCTCAAGAGTGTCGAAACCTTGGGAATTGTTTTCGGATGATACCGACTGAATTCCATCTGATAAGCTACACTTTGATGTAGTAACTGTACAAGGCGATGATCGGGCATTGCCATGGGTGGTGGTAGTGTTGTTGTTGTTGTTGTCATGCTGGCTGTATCTCCATCCTGTTGTGGTAAAATCACCTCTTCTAATGCAAATGTTGCTTTCAACTGTTCAACTAGTTTTTCTCTTGATCTCACCACACCTTCCCAATCTCGAAAAGCATTGGATTCTCCAACTGCTTTACACGTGAGTAAGTAACAAAGTTCTTTAAATTCCTGACGACTTGAATTCGAAGCAATTGCGACTTTTTCTAATGGTTTCAAATGTGCCGTTAGAAACGTAAAAGCTTTTTGATACTCTTGTCGATCAATTAGTTCTAGATATTCTTGTTTACATACAGCATAGAGAAACCCCTGATGAGACACATGAAACGTTTTCAAATGTTTATCTAGTAACTTCACCACAAGGTCCCAATCTCCTTCCAGGATGGACACACTCAGACGTCGTAGGGCATCACGTTCAGTCATTCGTTTTTGTCGCTTAACGTTTGCTTCATCTTGAATTGTCGCACTAGAGATTGCAAATCCTTCTTGTTGAAGATATTGTGTAATCAGTGCTAGAATTTCTTGTTTAATCGAGATATTCTCTTCATCAAAGGTTGCTTCAGGTGGAATACTTGTACGATGATGACCAACATGTGACCATTGAACCGAAGAGGTTGTTGGAAGGGATTCCTTTCTAGAATCAAGTTTACTAGTGGGAGATAAGGAAGACATGGAATAAGGGATTGGTGGTGGGTTATTGGTCATTTGTTGTGAAAAATGACGGAGCTTCGATGAGATGGTATGATCATTAGAGTACATGAAGATTTTTATACATAGTATTAAAGCATGTTTTATCTCCTTTTGTTCTACCATTGTCAGTTAAAGCTGTTTTTTTGAGACGGAGTAACAACTTGAAGTGATTATCATCGACGAGAGTCGAACCCTTTCGTCCTTTACTGCTTCTTTCTCGTGCTGGTCACTTGTTTCTTTCCTTGCAATGGACATGACGTCATTGTTTTTGACTGCAGTCATACGCATCACGCAGAATGATTGTGTTTTAAGCAGCACCAAGTGTCGGTCATGCGCAAGAGAAACAATCGTCTCTTTCATTGCACATTTTGAACATATTGGTAGCTTACAGCTCATACACGTCTGTCGAATGGACCTTAAAAAGCTGGCAGCTTTATTGCATACAGAGCATCTGGTACTCTTGATAGATGATCTTGGACGTTGACGATGATGAGATAACGGTATACATCGTCCATGATGTCGGTAAGTGAATATGTTTGAGAAACTCGCGAAGTCGAGCTGTACTTCCTACGCGGCCAATTTTTTAACAAAAGCACAAGTGCGTTTTCGCGTATAGAGATGCAATTTTCAGTAGCAACACGTACTGAAGCATCTTGTGTGTCGTTATGAAGTCAAAGAAGCCACGCACGTAGCATTCGACTGTAATGGTTGTAGAGTGTACACACAGACATGTTTCCTCGCTAACTGCTTGTGTCGCTCTTGCAAGTTTGTAACGTTATACAAAACAACCGAGTGTGAACTACAGTATCCAGTTTGAATCTTGTGTGACTGCCTACAATCTCCTAGCGTCTAATGACACATAATCGCGTATTTCGTACAGCCGCCGCTTTACGCTATTGTGTGGAATGGATTCTCGAAGATGGGACGAACGATGTCGTAGAGTTCTTTGCTGTCTTGTACGCTATTCTTAGTGCACGCACATTGAAGCTTCATCGCCTCGTCGGTCGTTTCCACTGTTCCGTAAATCATATCTTCGAGCTTACCCTCGATGGTACTTAGTAGCAAAAGCTAGGGCCCTTAGTCGACGACGAAAGACGTTCGTTGTAATTCATCGCTTCGCAACCGTCACGTGCGATATTAAATAAACATCATACTCCTAAAGTGCTGACCACTACTTGTATCTATCTCATCAGTCTCGTTAGATGGTTGGACAGTCAAACTGTGAGCGACGTTAAGACAACTACACTTGAACGTGCACATCTTTAAACGCACGAGTCCATGGTTCACTGACCGAGTGTATGTCTATCAAATCTACTTGCCATCGCTTGAGCTGACTTAGCTAGACGCAAAGATGTTTCACAATCTCGTCGAGATGATAACGCAACTTACTACCAAACATGACTTCTCCAACTTGCAAGAAATCAGTCACCAAGGTGGAGTGCACATTAACAAGGAGCGGGTACTTCGGGCGACACAATGGAAGCCGAGTGCGGTCGCTCAAAAGCTACAGCGACGCACAAGTTTGAGGACCCATTGGGGCAATACGGTTAGATATAAACATAGCGACGGAGAAGCGGCTTTTGTTACAGTGCCAAGGGTTAGTGGCAAGTCTTTCCTGAAGCATCTAGCACGATTGGGGAAGCTACATTATTACACACTCGGTTGCGTTTTCAGAGCTTCCAAGTTTCTAGACTATCCACGCCATTGAGCGCCTGTATCCGTCGTGTATTTGCATTACTGATCCAACCACTCGAAACCTTAACCCAGAATGAGACATCGGACATCTTGACACAACAGGCGATTGCTCTCACTGGGCTACATTCACGCAAAAATAAGAAGCCCCATCCACTGATGAAGAAACTTGCGTGGAAGGTGCACAAAGACTATAAACAGTTTCGCCATAGCAGCATGTGCATGATGAAAAATACTTAGCAGATCAGTATACGTTACCGGTAGTGTTGTGTCCGACAACTATATCACCAAGTTCATAACTTGCATGTTGCCTCAAAACACCATGGAACGACTACAATCTCAACTTTGTCAATTAGAGCTACAACGTGAACACAAATGCTAAATAAATTTACTGCCTTCTTTGGCGATTAGGCTAAGATTTTCCTGCCAATCTGACATGGACTGTTGATCTGGCTGCGACGGGAGACAGCACCCTGCACTAAACTCAACCTGGACGACGGCACCATATTTTGAGCCTTAGCCATGCATGCTTCATGGTAAGCTTTCGAACTTGCCAGCTCCTCTCGTGCCACTTCAAGCGCATCGCTATTGGCAGCATCTGCGAGACAGGTAGAGCAAAAGATTCGCTTCTTCTCAAGCACAGAGCGTTGATCTGGAGCCATGACACACACGAGCTGTTTGGAGCAGCATCGCGAACATACTTGACGCAAGCAACTCTTGCATGTTTTGTACTTTGTGCCTAAAAAACCAAAGCTCCTTGAACACACGGCACATCTACCTGGAATGGGTGCTGGTGGCTGCTGCGTAAATGATACCCGATCTCCATCCAGGGACAATGACGTCGTACAGCCCGAGCTCTTGCGCATTCGCCACACCAACTTCTTCATCAACGCACAACTGCGTTTCCGTGCAAAGGAAGCCCACTGCGTCGCGATAGCCTGGAGCGACATGGTATTAACCATCTCATTCTGGGTATGGAAATCGAAGAAGCCGCGAACATAGCACTCGACAGTTGTTGGGGTCTTCTGAAGGTATAACGAGCACACTGACATGTTGCCTCGCTCAATGCCGTGCGTGTCCTCCATGCCCGGGATCTGCGCAAAAGCGACAGAGTGCGAAATATTGTACCCGATCTGCTCGCGCTTGACCGAGTGCGCAATGCCCGAGGTATCCAACGACACGTAGTCACGCTGGTTTTTATATAGACGCCATTTGACGCTGACGTGGTGAAACGGGTTCTCCATCGTGGGCCGCACGAGTTCGTGCAGCACCTTGCTATCAATGACACCGTCCTGGATGCAGGTGGACTTGATGCGAATAGCCTCGTCCGTCGTGGTTACAGTACCGTACATGACATCCTCCAGCGTACCCTCCACTGTGCCAAGAAGCAATAGCGATGGCGTTGATGGGATGCCGTGGTGATGGCTGCGCTCCCGGTAAATATGCATACCATCCTTGCATCGCAACTCTTTCCAGCAGCGGTTGTCGGCAAGACCATCCTTTGTCTTGAGCAGCGTGTTGTACTGTTGAATGTTGTGCACTGCAAGCGTTTCAGCAAGCTCGCGCAACAGGTCTCTATCTTGCTCGGACATGGCAAGTTCCGGTGGAGCTAAACCCGTGATTGATTTCATGGTCTGATTTTGACTGGACGGCGTTCGAATCGTTTTGTTTCACGCTTTCAGGTCAAATGCAGTTATGCTACAAGTAGAATGACGTCCTAGCAATACGCCTATAGGCTCGTAGGTGATACCCGTAAACTGCCCGAACAGATGAGCCAAACTACATCTACGAGACTTGTCATTCGTGGTGGCGAATGATTACTCGCGTTAAAAAAGGACAAATTATGGGACTTGTAATCGCTCGCAAATCGTTCTGTTGGATACTTCAAGGTAGTAAAAGTTCCAACATTCGACATATTTCTTTTCGAATAACAAGTGAGAGTAAAACGAGGCCGCGCACTGAAATGAAGCCAGAATCGCGAGGTTTCGTATCGGAAAACATTGACCGCTAAATGACACGCTAAGCAAAAGACATTGATGTACAAGGATTTGGTATGACTTCAGGCGGTACCAAGAAGCGTGCGTTCATTGCAGTTGGCAACGGCAGCTGCTTGCAGAGATCTTGGTAGGGGCCGATAGTAGCCTCATCGAAATGTACGCGGAAGTTGGATTTGCCGGCGAGATGCTAACGGCAAATCCAGCAAATTCCTTCAAACGCTATTCTATCTGTCATCATCGTTATGGTAACAGCCGTTCCGTAGTCGCGCAGTCTGGGGCGCTTTTAGACAGCTTTGATTGTTGTCAGAAAGAGATCACGATTCACAGGGGGTGAAGTGCTCAAGATTAGTACTCGTAGTTGACATGCTGCTTCTTCTTCTTTTACCTGCACCTTGTAAGATGCAAGTTTAAAAAAGCCCCAATATCGCTTAAAACACATTCACTTTTGTCGACAAAGCTTACCTCAAATGCATCAAGTAGGCGACCAGAGGTTTTGAAGTGTGCCACACGCCGTCAGACGTCGCAAAAAAGCGGTAGACGGCAATTGACGAGCACATGGCATGGAAATGGAACACAATCGTCGTCGCAAGTAGTCAAGCGTTGCCTACAATCATTGCAAACGTGAGCATGGAGCCACGGGTGGACGTAATCACATAAAACAGGACCACTTAAACTTCATCAGTACCTCATCGACTTGACTGACATGGGATCGATTGGCCGTAAACAGTGGTAGAATTATATAGGTCTTCTTCCTTAAATCAAGTGGAAAGGCAAGTTATATTATACAAATAGTCAAATGACGAGACACAACCTGTGACAACGATGCAGTGGTAGTCTTTTTAAACATTGGGACGTGTTCCTTGCGACTGTCTTTGGCTGCCATACGATTTTCTAAAAATCACGATCAGATCCTTTCGACCGAACGATGAAAATGTCAACTCTTGGCGTGGAATCTATTTCGACTTTGCAATCAAAAAAGCTAGCTATTGTGCCGTTTTGCTTAAGCCGCGCACATGAAAATGGTTGTTTGATTCGTTATGCGGTGATCAAACTGAGTGAGCTGTTGTTAAAGAAATGAAGTACACCAAGCGGTAGCCCCTCCGCATATGCTTATTGTCGAAGCAGGCGCAAATCTCGTTGCATAGTGATCGTAAACACTGTAGCGTCGTTGCAATGCCACGTCAAAAACGGTGCTCTGGCTGGCCGTTTGAACCTGACAGTCAGTACAAGTCATTATTGTGCTAGTAAAAATCCTGCTGACAAACTCTCTGCTCATTCTGCAGCTCTGATAGCTACTCTTTTCAAGAAGGTCAGAAGGCAAGTTGCATTCGCTTGGTCAAAGCCAAAGTACAGTACCACATGTAAAACAATTCTTGGACACAAGCAAGACACAGCTTTTTGGTCCACGTAAGTAATCGAATCTTCATTTCAATGTTTACTTCCTCGATGTTTATCGGTATGAAAGCCGTTTTTTAATTTGTCAAGAACGCGTATAAGACTTGTACTCTCACTCCATAAATCTGCAGCGCGACCTTGAGCCTCGATCAATATGTTACGAAATTGATCAAATTGAACATGATCATACCGCCGTTCGAGTGAAGACAACTTTGCCCATGAAGCAACAGGAAGAACGAAGCGATGTTGGTTGAAATGGCGCAACTTTCGTATTCAGTCGCATCATGTCAGCGTATGAAGCCTGCATAGGCGATGGTGAAGCTGTTGACGATGGTAGAGTGAAGCAGCACGCAATGACCAACTGATGCTTGTACGGGTTAAACATAGCACAAACTTCGTTTTGCAGAATTTCTCGTCGCACTATGTAGTTCTTACAGTGCGCAGTAACTATTGCTGTGTTCGCATGGGTACGATAAAAAACTAAGACGATCATCAGTGATCACATTCAACACATCCATCAGAGTCGCTCAAGTAGCATAAGCAACTCGTCTTCTGGCTATAGGCATTTAGAGAGACGTAGAAGAGCGTACCAAGGCCACGACAGTCCTAAATGGCAACATGTAAAAGCTCATAGGATTTTGGTACTCAACAAACAACGGAATTGTGCAACACAGGATCATGGCTTATAGCACAAGTGAATGGGTTATGTAACATGATCAAGTTGATTAGCTTTATGATGTAGCCGTGCTTACCAACAATCCATTAGTTTTAGCATGGAACGGATTATACAAGAGTAACAATTGCCACGTCATGTGAAGCGTTTAATAAACAGGAAAAAGGTGCTGCTGCACCTAATAAAGATAACTTGTTTTCACTATGTCTTCTTTTTAGCAAGCATATCTATTGTAAAAAGCTTGCGTCGTGATTCATCTATCGAGTGGCTGATACTCGATTTAACCCCACATCAGTCTGCATTTTACCTCTTTATCCACAAGACGCCAATACGTCACACTAAATGGCTGCCAAGTATCAGATTGTTTTGATCCGTCATGGCGAGAGCCAATGGAATGTCGATAACAAATTTACAGGCTGGCATGATGTGCCTCTATCTTTGAAGGGTGAAGAAGAGTCACATGATGCTGGCAAGGTACTGAAAGACGCGGGCTTTAAGTTTAACTTGGCTTATACTTCAGTACTTAAGCGTGCTATCAAGACGCTATGGAACATTCTAGAGGAGATGGACCTCATGTGGATACCCGTAATGCGCTCATGGCGTCTTAATGAACGCCACTACGGTGCACTTACGGGCCTAAACAAGCAGGAAACGGTAGACCAGCATGGCATTGAGAAAGTCAAGATCTGGCGCCGCAGCTATGCGACGCCACCTCCGCCGCTTGATGCCAGTAGTCTGTACTACCCTGGCAACGATCCCAAATACGCGGGCGTGTCCAAGGAGTTGCTGCCTTTTGCTGAGTCTCTAGCCACGACGGGCGTGCGTATGCTGCCGTATTGGGAAGACACTATCGTTCCATCGATTAAAGAAGGAAAGAAGATTGTGATAGCAGCACACGGCAACTCGCTACGTGCGCTTGTGAAACATCTGGACAACATTCCAGAGGACACAATCACTGGTCTCAACATTCCTACGGGTGTGCCTCTCGTCTACGACCTGGATGAGAACTTGAAGCCTGTGCCGCACAAGGACGCCATTGCTCCTTTGTCTGGATATTACATCGGCAATCAGGAGGAGATTAAGGCACGCATTGCCGGCGTTGCAAACCAGACCAAGACTTAAGTTAACAAAATACTTGCGCTTCGTAGATAGAGTGCACTTGTAGATGGTACAAGATTGACGCACTGTATCCACACTTGCGGTGGGTACAATTTATACGAATGTTTGGTTGTCGCAAACAAGTAATCTATGGTGCTAGCTAACAGGATTGATTTTCAAATGATGCTGTCTCTACTTCAATGTTTTACTATACTTTTGTATCAGTCATTAGCAAAAGCTTATTCAAAATAACCAACACCAACGATACATACGCCTTGTTTCTTGGTCGGGTTTTTCCCATGAACGCTCGCGTGATTATAAATCTCACATGGCAATATATGAGACAAAACTATTACGCTTATGTAATGTATCGGTAGCACAGAGTCTGATCTTATCGTCGTGTTTGTAAGTGCGTGCGTTTATCGCAACAAAAACTTATTACGATACAGCATGATACACTCTTTGCTCATCGTTGGGTCTGCTAGATGACGCCGATTACTAATCAAGTACCATGACTAGGGCCCATTCATGTTTACCAACCACTGCCAAGTTAAGTCTAAAATGCTAGCGCCGTGGAAACAACATCTCATCCTTTGCTGGTTTTACAAGCCCAAGAAACTAAGAATCAGTCGCATCTTTCGTGTAACAGCTTCGACGATACTTTCCTTCGATAACTACTGCCGGTAAGACATAACACAGGACCTTTTAAATCGTTCTTTAGCTCTACAGACTGCTGCCTGGTCAAGTCTATCAAAGCATATGAATCAATTATTCGTTTATATCAGGCCACTTGCAAGACTTACGATCAAAGTGTCTTCTCTACATCGCGTCTAGTATTTTTACAGACCTGCGCGTGTAATGTAGTACGACTGCCACTTCACAAAACCTCTAGTCTCTCAGCGTCATCTTGGGCGCCCGTTTCAGCTTGTCAGTTAAGATACATATTGAAACACTTGGACATCACATGAGATACTAAATTCATAGCACCGATGTTCAAGACACTCCACGAAGGCCAACAAGATCAATCTTTGCATGCTTAGACTTCCAGAATGGCCCTGCACAGCCTAATTGTCGTACTGCAGTAAGCGTTGTTTTCTGTGCCGTCGGGGTGAGCTCATGCATTTTCGAGAAGCAGACGGCGTTTTAGTTTTCTATGTGTTCTTATTGCATTTTTCAGATGTGGTTGGGAACAGTGAAAATTTTGGGAGTGTTTGAAAAACGAGTGAGCACAGCCAGCTGGCTATTCATTGAGATGCACGTGTTTAACTTGGATCACCAACCTGAGACATGGCTCTGTTTTGCAACCTAGGGTCTCTGTCCATTGTAAACGCCAACATGAGAAGTTAGGCGATGCCACGTGAGGAGCTTTCGTTTTGACATGCGACTCAAGCCTTTTTTAGATTATCAATCTGGATGCACTTTGAGTGGTAAAATGGGTGAGGATTTGCACATGAAAAGAGTAGATTGACGACGATGTCATCAGTCAAACGACCATACACAATCAAGTGAGGGTCTGGCCGCGTTTACCATCTGCATACCCGTCATTTGCTTGTAATGCGTAGAAAAAGAATGCTCAAAAACACTTGGCAGCAGGTGGTAATTGGTTGGTAAACTTGCCAGGTGTAATATGTGACGTTTGCGCTGCAACGTGCAAGAACATAAGTGAGAACTATACAACTACACAAGCTTGCAACATTTCAAATAAACCAGCAATTGGCTATGGCTATCGCTTAGCCAACGCCGGCTGTCTCTTAGCCAACGCCAGCTGCAATTGACTAGCCAACCATACTTCGTGTAGGGTATCATAACACAGATATCACAAGTTAGAGAAAATCGGATGCTAAGACTTGTCGTGGAGGCAGACTTGGCAGGTACGGCCATGACACGTTCGTTCTGTCAACCGTTTTCGATTCGTTTTGGTAAAAGATTCAATCTTCTTTGCCAGATAACCATATGGGACCGTAGACGCAGGTCATGTGCCTGTCTGGTGTAACACGAATCGACAATTTGGTTGAATTGTATGGTCTCAAGTATTTCAGTAATTGTTTGATCAGCCTCATTCTCATCCTTTGATCATAAGCTGGAACAAGGCAGATATCGGAACCATTCTGCGTTTCGCTGCACCTTAGCAATCTAACGAAACTCTATTTGCTGATGGTAAAAGGCCGCTTTACCATCAACCCGTTCAAAGAATTAGTTCTTGCACCTTCTGACACGGACAATCTTCACGAGATTTCTAGTGCTATTGTCGCCACGAATTTGTCACGATATGAAGATTTCATTCACGTTGACGGAGGTCAGATTGACCATAGTCACTGGAAACTTGTCAAAAGTCGAGACAATACCCAAGTCTTTCAGGAAAAAATGACAGGCTCTAGTCGTAGTACAGTGTCACTCCATCAAACTGCTGATACTTCGTCACATCTGCCATCGTTGCTCTGCGTTGGTACAACGGTGGGTGAAATGGAAGACATGATGTTTGGGGTGGTTAATCCGACACTTGAAATCATGCGCATCAAAGCTTCGTATGTCGAAGACTTGAGTGGCGCTGCTGTTCTTGCAACTATCGTCGAGCCAACCGTAGAAAGTCCATTCGATTCTCTCGTCGTCAAGTGGATGGAGATGGATATTCCTCTCCAGTCGATGGGTATTGTAAGAAATCGCGATTACATTTACGTCGAGGCGACAGGCTTTGTGCATTTTTCTACTGGCGAGAGAGTTGGGTATCATATCTTGCACTCAGTTGACTTCCCAGAGACACATGAACTGCCAAATCGAGTTCGTGCAAACTTGTCAATCTGTGGCTTCTTTCGGCAAATTCGACCAAACGTCAGCGAGATTTTCCTCACTGGTTTAATGGATCCGGGTGGTGACATGATTCGGATGCTTGTTGTGCCTACGATAGCTAACACGTTACTGTCGACGCTCAAATACGCTCACTGCGGTCAGATGAAGAAGTTGCAGTACACTTTGGAGAAGCGCTACGCTGAAGCAAAGGAACTGGGTGCCCCAAACCGAGAGCTCGTCTGCGTGACTTGTAATGCCCATATCACGAACCGAAGACTTGGAGATTTTGGCAAGTCCGACACAACATGCAAACTTTGTTTTGGCTACGTATGTCGCGGCTGCAAGATTCAGAAGAAGCTTAGTTTTGTGACTCCAGATCTGTTGTTGGCTCAAAGGAAGGTCACATTTTGTGCAGTGTGTCTGAACAATGCTATCAGAGCACCTGCAGCCGCCGCAGCAAGAGCTCAGATACTAAACTCAGCTCATAGAGTGATCAAGACGTACGCGTATACTCACAACTCCGAAGCAAGCACTATTTCTGAATACTCGAGCAGTTTTGCGTAGAATTCTTTCTTTGACTGCAGTCTGCAGGATGTAAGTACAAAAGTAATTTGTTTAAAAAATGGAAAAAGCTTTCAACGACGCATTGACAATGCAACTGGCAGCACTTGCTGGTATGACTCAGTCGTTATAATATTGTGTCATATGTTGTCGCGATTAAACTTGACGTCATTTGGGTAATAAGCCGAACAAAAGTGAAGATTCTAATAAAAGGTAAGGAATCTAGTCGTCGCATGTTAAGTTTAGGATTACAAAGTTAGCAATTGTTAGTTGTGCTTCATGTTCGGACTTGTGGACAAAGTTTATAGGACGCGTTGGTATAGATCGCTTTTTCACTCAGTCGTGATTCCGTAGCACCACTTGCTGTCTTGTCAGCTCAGCTTTGAATGTACTTGCTTGGGCAAAGCTGAACTACCAACACAGTGCAAACAGCTTAATTAGACAACGGGTGTGTGTTTGATTAAAATAGATTTGGCAGAAAAGTCACTGCGAGATGTGATCAACAGATACACCATGTATCCGAAATATTTCTAGTAAGATTTGATTAATCTTCGTCATGTTATGCATCTATCTTTTCTTGCGTTTGAATCATGCCTTCTGGACTTTAAGATAAAGCACGCACAAAGCCTTTAGCTGTCACAGTGTGAAGAATCTCTCGGTAGCCACTTCCAAGCTGCACTTCTCAGCTTGGAAGTGACATCTTGAAGTCCCGTCTGCCTACATTTGTCTCTTCTAACTCGATTCACGAAAATGGCATTCGGAAACAATATATAGCTGGTTGTATAGCAATTACATAGGCTCATCAACAGCTTCTCATATCGACGGCCTTTTAGAAAAGAAAGGATTGATTGTCCATTTCTTGTGCAATAGTAGTACTGTTTAGTTTAGCGCTATTAATTATAACCCACTGTTCCGCCAACTTCTACCATGACAAAAGTATGGGAATGACGTGTTACTTAGAACGAAACATTGTGAGATTGACAGGACTGCATTTCACTAATGTGTATAATAGCTCATAGACCTTCAGAAGATACGCAGAGGAGTGCTAGCAGTCATGTCTTACGTTTTGAGCTATCACTTTGGCAGTGGTGATGAAAATTAATTGTCTTATGACTCTTATGCGCTTTTACGGGTATGAAGATGATAGGATCGTTCATTTGGTAGTCATTCTATTTATTGTTTTATATGTATTTTCCACTAAGTCGGTGTTTTGTACACAATTATCTCCAACAGAAATCCGTCAGAAATCAACGTAAATGAGTCATCATACTTTGTCTAGCGAACGCCGTCCTGTCTTCTACTTTATCGGGGACTCCATCACAGAATTCGGTAGTGACAGTGACGAATGCGGATTCATCACTACTCTCCAAAGTCATTATGTGCGCTCAGTCGATTGTATTAATCGTGGGCTCTCTGGATATAACTCCAAGTACGTTTGACTAAATTGTCTTTTGTTTAAACACTTTAATTCGTTTAACCAGCTTAATTGACTGTCAGATGGGTACAGGAATATGCAATGCCCATTTACGCAAAGGAATTACAATCTACATACACTGCATCCTTCGTTGCAATTTTTCTCGGAGCTAATGATGCAGTGCTAGAGCACGGCCCTGAAAAAGCACAATATGTGTCACTAGAAGACTATCGAGTCAATTTGCAAAAGATTTTGCACAAGGTGCAGCCATTGCTGGCTCCTAAAGGCCAAGTGCTGCTAATCACACCGCCCTGTATTATTGACTCGGCGCGTCATAATGACCGCAGCAACGCATCGGCGGCCAAATATGCCAAGGTTTGTGTCGACTTGGCTACTGCTGAAAATGTTCATGTCTTGGACTTGCACACGTACTTTAACACGACATTTCCTGATGAAAATGTCCGCAAAACGTATTTTATGGATGGACTGCATTTTTCTGAGAATGGCAACAAGGAGATGAGCAAGTTGCTAAGCATCGCTATGAGCGATATGTTTGACAAGGAGGAACGAGACAAGTTCAAAAAGTGGCGATTGCCAGATTGGAAGAAATTAGTTAGTTATGAAGAACTACGTAGGGGAAATGAATAAGCCTGTGCTTGAAAGAATAGCACATGTGAAGCGAAGTTATTTGAGATTGTTGTTTGACAAGGATAGCAACCCATAACTTCGATACAAGTTTGTGTCGATGGAAGGATTGGGCAAACCTTACTCAGAGGTCGAAACTGGTTTACATTTTGTATGTGCAAACAATTTCAATTCAACATATCATTAAAGGGACTTATTTTCCGCACAGAAAAAATAAGGAAAGACTGAAATAATTTCGAGCAAAAAATGTAAATGGCTGTTTTGCTTGATACGCATGGCTGAAGTTATGTGACGATAAGGAGTGCAGGACATTATCGCTTCATTGCTGTATTGTAATATAAATGCTTTTATCATAAAGCAAGATTTCGAATCATAGAGCACCGATGGAAGATCAAATGCAAAACGTAGGCAATGAGTTCTTGTGGACCTCGCAAAACCACGAAACAGCGACGTTACAGTTATACCTGGCCAAGCGTTAGTAATTCGACAGTATGCACACAAGGTTGGAAAAAAAAACTCGAAAGTAAGATTACGGTTAGTCTGCAAAAGCGCTGCCTTATCTGATTGTGTGTGTCGCACGTTCCGAATCTTGACCGGCTTTTTTTCAATGTTGCAACCACGGTCTAACATTTCTACTTCGAGGAGACGTTCCTGCTTTTTTGTGTAAGAAGTGGTTGGCAAACAGGACAGTTTGGCGGTTCTTGTTTTTTGAGATTGATTTCCCATGAACAGAGGCCAATCACTGTCAGTGAAATACTTAGGAATGTATTCAACGCGCCACCTTCTTGGTAAAGCGAGTCTGGCACTACATATGGTCGTCTAGTAGAAGCTGACAACTTGATTTGATACTAGTCATGGACAGGGCAACGTAACATACCATGTTTTGCTGTATTCGCGGCATATTGGGCGATGTCAGGCATTCGTTCGTAAAGTTTGGTGATGGAATGAGCCACTTAATCAGCAAGAGAGATCTTCAGTTCGTAGCACGTCGTCACCTCATCGAGCTTCTTCATCAACATCCTGTGTTAATAACGAAATATGGATCTTCACAGCGCACGGGTGCAAGACGCATCAAGCTATTGCAAGAAAAATTCTAGTTAGTGTTGACTCAAAGAAAGAAGGACAGTGATTGAGCAGTAAGTTCAAGAGAGTGAGATGTGAGTCGATAATCTAAGACAGCCTACAGTAAGTCATGCCTTGCACATGCATTCTCTATAAAGGGATGCTCGTTGGATTGAGGCAGTCATAACAAATGATGATGTTGCATTCATTTGTCTTCTATTGATATGGATAATGTATTTTGAATAACATTGATGACCAAGTAGTAAAGCTACCGAGCATTTTTTTACTCGAGTGAGTTACAGTAAGTCAGGCTTTGTCAGCGCTGGAGCTGCAGATTCTTAAGATTCCAAAGATATCTACGGTACGAAATACCTAACGTCTTACAGTTTCTTTATCAATGCTTACAAATAGACATAGTTTGCATGAGCAACAAATAGGATGCTTGCGTCCATTATGTTCTAATATTCTATAAGTAGTATATCATATCCATTGTATCCATAGAGTTCGCTGGCGTACTATGAGATGCAAGTTTGCATTTCTTGTGAACGAGTCAGCTATAAGTTAAATATATCGTTGCTAGCGCAGTTACACAATACAACGTCAAAGCGCTTCTCATTACATTTACATTGCATTCACACTCAAATGCAAGGAACTTTATGTCCGGCGTATTGAAGATACAACATAACACACACGGCCATGATTACGCATAGTCATTCAGCATTAGTGTGTTAGTTTTCGTGTAGTTTACCTACTTTACATGCATGTAGTCTTTGACATAGAGATCATGATATGTTTCTACTAACAGCGACCTTTTGCCAGCTATTGCCTGTCGAAATAAGAAAACATAAGACGCAGATTGTCAAATATCTCTGGAGTCGATGTTTGATCTTACCAAACTAAACTTGAGTCGATGTTACTTGGCGTTCTTGCCAGTTTTCGTTACTATTGTCTACAACTTGAATGACAGTACAACATCAGTGTATACAAATATGTAAAAGAAGTCTTGAGGATGTCGTCGTCGTATTGCATTGCATGCATCAAACGAGTTCAAGTTCAGTTCGTTGACACAGATGTACATCGGATCAAAGGGAGTTGTTAGTCTACGGAATTAGCATGACAACATTCTAAAGTAATCATCAAGGTCACATCAAGATAAAAGCAGTTCAGAAAGGCTATCAACTAGCAAACAATGTCCCGTTAGTCAAACTCGAAACGGTTTTTGATGGCTTTTCCTAACCCGATTGCTTATTGAATGACGACATATCGCGACGACAGTCCAGTTTTTCGTACTATTGCGGCTTGTCCAGTCACCATAACACCGACCTTTTTCTAAAACATCCCTCTATGAAGACAAAAGAGCTCTTGTGAACTATGAAGTCGAGAAAACTGGAAAGTTTGCAGGCGACTTTTGAGTAGAAGGTATCGATTCATCTACCGAAAGGAAAAGCGTCAAGAATATCAAAGCTTTGCCCTCTGTTCATCACAGAAAGCCACTCAATTGATGTGGACTTGAGACGTTTTAGTGTTATTAATCTATTGCTTCAGTGACCAACCACTGTAGCAAATGTTAGCAAACATTTGCATTTGCAGAGATCCATATGGGATGATCACGCTTGTCCTGCAAAATCAGAGTGTGGCGGTGTTCGGCAAATCTGCTGGTGGATAAATTGCTCTTGCCTTGTCTTAACATTTGCACCGCAAGCATGTCATACATTGCTCATGTCATACATACGTCCAAACAGAACCGACGTCAGGCATTGCGCAAAGGTACACACAACTTTCTGTCCCGCATGCAACGTAGTTCCTAGGCGCACTACATTGCATGTGGTAAAACAAGTTGTGCCCAAACGACCGAGGCCTGCTAGCAGCAGGCTGAAGCTGATATCAGACAAGCAACCTTGTCAATGCATATGTGCCCTCCTCTTCTTCAAAACTACGAGATCAGAACAAATCCGTAACGGGTGCCTTGCTTGCAAATGTCGGCAAGATAAAGTTAGGCGAGAAGTGTATCTCTTGAGCATAAAAATCAAGTCCTCGGCGACTGCGACTGAATAGAGCAGCCACGTTATTGTCTAAAGCAGCAGATTCAGCATCTTTTTGCACCGTACGCTATCAGCTAGAGAGCGGACGTCAAGGTTAACTTTACCAGCTGTCCATTCTGCTGCTGAGGTCTCTCGCCCCGCCTCTCCCTCTCTTTTCTCTCTCTCCATTGGCTTGCTCACCTCCTGTCACTTCACAATTAGCTCGGACATTTCACGGGTGATTTTATCATTGAAGCCGATACCAGAGACTTTGCGCGGGTCAGAGTTTAAGCGACCTCATGCAGCTTCGATTTCCGTTGCCAACTGGATACTTTGCCAAGTTTGACTTGCTGCCAAATGAAGTGCATAACTATCGAACGCTAGCGAGCGACATTGTTCGGGAGACACAGCGAGATTTTAACCATTATGTCAAGGACGGCCGCAACCTCATTGACGCGCACACATGGAAGCTCACCAAGTCGAAAGAGCGTTTGCACTGCTATCGAAAGCGCGGTACTCGAACTTCGCGTCAGCCTTCTGTAAGTGGAGGAGCTGGTGGAAGTAACTCGGCCCGCATTTCACGTTCGCGTCCGTCTCATTGTCATTCGCGTTCTAGCAGCTCTTCTGGATTCGAAGACGTTGGTTATTTGTCTGCGTCGAACCGGTCTTCGAACGACGGCGAAGTGAGTCGCAAGAGCATGAAGCCGGCAGTGATCGGATACGGTGTTGTGGACGGCACCGTGGATGACGTAGTGTATGGTCTATACCAGTCGTCGACCGAAGAGATGAAGACGCTGTCTGCGTTTTTGGGTGACGACTCAGTAATTGATTGCGCAGTGCTGAAAACAATACGGCAGACACGCGCATCTTACCTTGGACTGAAGTGGAAGCTATCCCGTACAGTAGGCGGCAACCGAGACTGCTGCTACATGGAGTACGTCGGCGTGTCGAAGGATGCCAATGACCGGCGTTTTGGTTACCATGTTTTGGAGTCGGTGGGTGTTCGCAATTGTCCTCAATTTGAGGACAATTCAATCGTGCGCACCAATATGTCCTTTTGCTTCATCTTTCGACCGGGAAAATTTTCGGATCAAGTAGAAGTGTTCATGGAGGGCGCGTACGACTCATCGGCTGATGTACTTACAGCTGGAGGTGTGGGCGACAACCGCAGCACGATGGATATGCTGTTTAATCTTCCGTCTGCACTGGTTGGATCCGAGGCGAAGAAGATTTCCGCTATGGTCGCGATTCAATCTGGAGCGCTGCGTGGTTCGAGTAGCAAAAACCAGAGTGGCAATCACTGCTCGATCTGTCGGGCCAAGTCGAGCTTGCTATCCTCACACACCAATTGCCAGACATGCGGTGCTGTCATCTGCAGCAAGTGCCGCGTTCGGAAGGTGACGTTCGCCCGTCGAGGCAAGATTAAGGTCTCATGCTGCAAGATGTGCTTAGTCATGGTCAAGGACAAATCTCCATTTGCTGGCGAAGAGCTGGAGCAGCAATTAGCAGAGCCAAAGAAGATGCCTTGTGAGGACAGCCGCAGTAGGAACGGCAGCTCGAGCAGTAATTACACCAACTTGGATGCGATAAACGACTCTGTCTCGACAATGTCCCTCACCGACTCTGAGTTTTCATTGTCGTCCCAGTCGTGGCAATCCAGTTCAGTGTCGTCATGGCAGTCGGACTTTGATGATAATTGCTACAGCTCGAATGGCTCTGCAGTCGTTCCTTATGATCGAAAGATGCCAGCGCTGATGGAAAGCGATATGCCAATGCATGCTCCTATGAAATACCAACGCCAATACGAGCAGCAGCAGTATACAAATTGGCAGGACATGAAACAAAAACACATTGATTCGAGCGTTCCAAGTCGACGACACCCTGTTACTCGCGAGGATCTGTACAATCAAATGCTAGATCTCCAAATGCAGGCTGAACGGGCTTACAAATTGACAAACCAGAATGCCAACATGATGCACTACGGATGAAAGTTTAGAGGTAGCAGCATGTAGTAGAAATGAATAGAATTTAACTCAACAAGATAAACCTGTTTTGCTTGAGTAGGTATCAGAGAAGACACAATGAGTTTAGTGGTACCATGATGAAGCAGCAATAGCTATAGCGTTTTGTTAACAACACGAATCATGGAAGTAAAGAAATTATTTGTAGCTACAGTCGATTTAAGCTGACTGACTAAGCGATCTAGCGACGACGGACCGGTTTAGTATGCACTAGACTCATCATTTCTATTGCTTTATCAAACATGGTATACTTTATCCTGAGTAAATGCGTCCTGATGCAACTCACGTATTGAACAGAAACACAAAAGAATCAGTAGGTTTGGAAGCCTGTGTAACAGCAGGAAAGAGCTAACGAACGGAAACACTGTTTGGATGTCGGGGTTGCACAAAAAGTATGTATATACAGCATAGGCTTCCATCATTGTAACAGATGTCAAGACTTGCCATGTGACGTTCATGATTAGAAGCCAAGTTCAACCGTTACTCTCCACCTCTTGTCGATTGTTTTATTTCTCAATTATCTTGTGTTCTACTATGAAGGAAGAAGAGATGAACGTGACATACCCGACTTTGCTCTGGTCAAGTATGTACACAATTTGATGATCCCTTGTTTTTTTGGACCACTGTGACATAAGTATCAGCTGCGTCATGGTAATCAAATTGAAAAAGCTCACATGACGATTTGTATCACAGGAGGTGCTCGACATTTCTGCACGACCATTAACTATGATCCCTAAGGGTTTTACTTCAACATCAACGTTGTTACGAGCGGTAACGTTGCCCTCAGTGTGTGTGTGTGTGAGTATTATGAAAATCTAGCTAAGTGTGCTTACTCTTGTAGACCAATAAGGAAGCATAGTTATATTCAATAGACCCTAGAGGAAGGAGATATTGCTTGCAAAGTGCATCTAATGGCGAAGCTTAGTTAGACTGACGAGCAAGGTTTTTGTCTAAATACGTGACTGTAGCCATGTCTGTTTGAGTATTTCTAACCTTACGTGTTAACACTGCGACTAATTTAGAAACGCGGTTTGCCAAGAAACATCTGGTGAATATTTTGGGCTGTGGCGACCACCAATTACACGACGGTGACGACAGTTGTAAATCGGCCGTAAGTTTGTAAATAAAGTACTGAACGATGGCAAGAGCAAGTGTTTGTCCAATCTTGTCCATACTAAGAAATCCTCTCGAATTCGATACGGGCCCCATCTCAATTTTGACACTAATTTCTATGGAATATTTATGACACAGCTAGTAAAAATTAATACATAACTGCTTTTTCGTCGCATTCATGTATCGGCTCAGACTTGTAATAAGTTTGTACAGTTAATCGTCTTAAACATTTATTATGGACTTGAGACTTTGTCAACGCATTACTAAATATGAGAAAATTAGAGCCCTTCTTGCGGTTTGACAGAACCTGATATTCTACTACTATCCCAACAAGCCACATGTACTGTAAGACTTAATAAATCTAATTCCCTCTTCAATCCGTTCATGGACATCCTCGTCCGACGCTTTCGTTCTCTTCTCATTCTCAAACTTGCTCCATCTTTGTGAAATAGACGTATTTTTTAATCTTTTTAAAATCTGATCCCGTTTAAAATCCGACAATCATGCCATCTCTTCTTCTCCGTCCTCGCTCTTCCTTGCGTCTTCTATCTCGTTCTTCTTCTTCTCTTCCTCCTCTATCTTCTCTATTCGACAACGCATCATTCAGTACAAAGACTCTATTTCAAAAACGTGATGGTTCAAAAGGTCAAATTGATAGTGCACGTGCGTTTATCGAGTTTAAACGTGAAGCTGATCCTTATCGTAATATCATTGAACGTGTTCATGATTGGAATGAAATCAATACAAGTCATCGTGATCCAATCGAACGTACCATCCAAGCAGCACGTTGTATGGATTGTGGCACCCCCTTTTGTCAAACAAATACAGGATGTCCAGTGAATAATCTGATTCCAGAATGGAATGAATTAGTATTTCGAAATGAATGGAAAGAAGCATCGGATCGGTTACATAAGACAAATAACTTTCCAGAATTTACAGGACGTGTGTGTCCTGCACCATGTGAAGCAGCATGTGTTGCTGGACTTGTGGATGATCCAATTACGATCAAAAATACAGAATATGCCATTGTCGATCGAGCGTTTGAAGAAGGATGGATTGTACCACGAGTACCACGTCGTAATGGTCTTCGTGTAGCTATTGTTGGCTCAGGTCCTGCTGGTCTAGCAGCTGCTGATCAATTGAATCAAAAAGGTTATTCTGTTACAGTCTATGAACGAGAAGATGAGATTGGTGGATTATTAATGTATGGAATTCCTAATATGAAATTAGAGAAGAAAACAGTCACTCGACGTGTGAATTTATTACGTCAAGAAGGAATTGACTTTGTCACAAAGACGGAAATTGGACACAATCTATCGGTGAAAGAGCTACAGGCTGAAAATGATGCACTTGTATTAGCATTGGGCTCGACCGTACCACGTGATGTAGACCTGCCTGGTCGTGATCTCAAGGGTATTCATTTTGCAATGGAATTTCTTACAAAAAATCAAAAACGGCTATTGCTAACGGTTGATGGAAAACTACAAAGTGGATGGGACCGTGGGTTTGTCACTGCGGAAGGAAAAGATGTTGTGGTGATTGGCGGCGGTGATACCGGTACTGACTGTATTGCGACATCCATGCGGCAGCGTTGTAAATCAGTGGTGAACTTGGAGCACAACTTGCAGCCTCCGGTCCAACGTGCCCCGGAGAATCCATGGCCCGAGTACCCACGTATTTATGGTGTCGACTATGGCCATGCTGAGGTACGTGCTGTGTTCGGTGAAGATCCGCGTCAGTACGCTCGCATTACAAAGGCTTTTAAGGGCAACGACAAGGGTGAAGTTACTCACGTGGTGACTATGCGGGGTAGCAAGGACCCAAAGACAAATATTATTACGGAAATTCCTGGTAGTGAGGAGGAGATTTCGTGTGATTTGGTTCTGTTTGCCATGGGTTTTGTGCACCCGGAACAGAAAATCGCAGAGGCTCTTGGTCTGGAGATAGACCAGCGCCGCAATATTCGTGCTGCATACGGTGAGTATCAGACATCAGTGGAGGGTGTGTTTGCTGCTGGCGATTGCCGTCGCGGTCAGTCTCTAGTAGTGTGGGCGATTAATGAAGGCCGCGGCGTTGCAGACGCAGTGGAAAAATACTTTTTGCAAGAAGGTTTTCACCCGGAGGTGTCACAGAGCCAGCGCTTTGGGTAAATTATGCATCTAGTCTTAGATGACAGTGTTTACTGAAGAAAGCGTTGCATACATGATGTTTTGGATGCCTGTTGGAGTTTATCGCTGGACTTCACAGCAGAAGATTAAGCTGGAAGCATTGATAGGGACTGATCAATACAGTGAGCGATGCAAGGGGACGGGGACTATCATTGTAATAGCAGAGGTGAGCTTGCTGGATCGTTTGTCATTCAGTGCACAGTGGTAATGACTAGGCATTTGTCCCTAATACAAGAACATGAATTTGGCGCGACTGAGAATGGATGGTGTTTGAATATTGTCTACACACGTTACATGTTTGTTTTGTGCCCTCTCTTTTTGGGCAGATTCCGACCGTGGCGATTCACAGTGAGCTGGTCATACTGCTAGTATTAAGATGCAGATCAAGCGTAAGGACATTCGATAACGGCGAGACGTAGCGAATGGCTATGTGGAGGTGACGCATTGACAGTTTGTAAACTGCATCTACAGTCACGTCAAATTGATTCGGGTCGGCGATTCGTACCCAAGGCGTGAGCGCGTACAGGTAGTGTCACGTCCACCCCTTGAACTAAACAAGTTTCACGATGTGAACATTGTCAGCTAGCCATTATCAAGCGTGTCACCAAATTGCAAGTCTACTTCTCGCACTTAGGCAATTCAACTGGTGCGCTGATCGAACGAGTTTGTTAATGTCGACTGTGTTGATCACGATCCAAGACTCCGATGTCGCCACGTATCTTGCATCGGTACGTTACGATTGTAGGCGCGTGATGATCTAGCAAAATCTCATATGCTAGAGCTCATGGATGCAAGTAAGGCCTTCACTTCGCGTCACCATGTGCATCCTAAAAGTTCAAGTCAATCCATGGTGGCAGCATCTTCGCTCGATATCTCGGTGCAAGTCGACACATCCGGCTCGCTTTTTTGAGATCAAGTGGTAGAGCTGTTGGATTGGCCTTGGTACTGTTTTGGTGCAGCAAAACATCTTCTGCGGCCATGCGTGATGATGTGGCGTCGCTTACGCGTCGATGAAGCGTGAGCTGAAGTTCAGACACTAGTCCAAGACAAAATGGAAAAGCTGTTTCGTACGTAGGCGTGAAGTACATTGAGAAAGACCAGGCCGAGCTTGCAACCAATATCAAGTTTAGATTGCAGTTGTCTGTCATGGGCAGGATACCAGTGAGAGCAAAGACGGAAGTGCACCGGTACAATTGGCCACAAACTTTTTTGAGCCTGAAAACCGGGTTAGTATGCAGTACAATGTGGTTGTTTGCATTTGAAGGTTTCTTGTACAAGAATACTGCCTCGAACGAGAACCTCTAAGCTTGGATGCAACAGGGTACTAGCTGCAAAGAAAGACTGACAGTAAGACGCTAACGCTTCGACAATCCGTTTTTCATTTGTTGTGCAAGAAACCTATCGTCCACTATTTCTAGCAATAGGGCCTCAGTCTAACAAAGCTTACTGCACGTCAGCCACGCTAATGATAATTGCACGGCCAAGGTCGGCCGAGGGCTTGTCACCGCTGATCACAACGACACGGTCACCTGAAGAGAGCCATCCTATCTTTTTGGCATGGGCAACAGCCTCCGCAGTAGTCGGTGCCTGGTCAAGGTAGTCAGGAACGACAGGGTATAGACCACGGTGGATCTGAAGCTGACGGCCGACTTTCTTGTCAGTGGTGAAGCACATGACCGGCACGGTAGGTTTATACTTGGCGACCTTACGAGCCGTGTAACCCGTGCGGGTCAGCACAATCATGAGCTGCGCGTGCATCTCATTAGCAGTTTTGACAGCAGACGACACAGCAGACTCGACATCTGAGGTTGGCGGGTCGAACTGGAATTTGGCACGGTACGTCGGTTGCAACAGCAGCTCGTCGGCTTCCTTAATCACCGTGTTCATGGTACTCACAGACTCAATCGGGTATTTGCCCTGAGCAGACTCACCGCTGAGCATGACACAGTCAGCACCGTCTAGCACGGCATTGCCAACATCCGAGACCTCAGCACGTGTGGGTCGCGGATTGTATTGCATCGACTCGAGCATCTGTGTAGCCACAATCACAGGTTTACCGACGGCATTACACCTGTCGACCATCATCTTTTGGTATGTCAGCACCTTCTGAGCAGGCACTTCGACCCCCAGGTCGCCACGTGCACACATGATCCCATCTGAAGCATCCAGAATCTCCTCAAAGTTCTCAACACCTTCTAGGTTCTCGACCTTTGAGATAATCTTTGGAGCAATATAGTTTGGTTGGTGTGCCCAATGTTTCTTGACACACTCGTCCACATACGATCGGATCTCGTTTACATCACTGGCTTTACGAATAAAAGACGCAGCAATGAAATCAATATCATGCTTGACACCCCAATCAAGATCGCGCTTATCTTTCTCTGATAAAGCTGGAAGATCTACAATCAATCCAGGAAGGTTGACACCTTTATTGTTTCCAATCTCCTCTGTATTTTCAATCATGCAGGTAATTTCTCCTTTACCAACACCTGTACACGTCAGTCGTATCAATCCATCACATAGTAGCACGGTATCACCAACTTTCACCGTCTCTGCAAGTTGTTTGTACGTAATGTAAAACTTTTCAGCTGTGCCCTTTAGTTCAAACTCTCGATCAGTTGTTAAGACAACTTCTTGTCCCTTTTGAAGCATAATCTTCTTGTTATCGAGCATTTTACCCGTACGAATTTCAGGACCTTTCGTATCATGCAGTACAGCACGTAGATTAAATGTCGATTGAGTCTGAGCGTGTACACCTCGACAAGTTCGTAGATTCTCAATACGTGCAAGCGCTTCATCGTATTCTGCATGTGAAAAGTTAATGCGCATGATACGTAATCCTTCATTTGTGAGCTTTTGAAGCAGATTGAGCTCTTCAGATGCAGGACCAATCGTTGCTACAATTTTAGTCATGGAAAATTTAGAACTACGTGGATTCTTGTATAAGTCTGACGTCGAGGTATAATGACGAATCTTTGTCTTGATAGAACTACAGGTTAGACGACGTAACATGGTGAAGGAAGGAGATATAACGACTTGTTGACTTGGATGTGGGTTTTGAGCTGAATCAAGTGGGGGGTTTGGTGCTTGGATGGTGGTGGATTGATGGTGAATGGCCTTATTTACGTGTTTTTTATTTACCTGTGTATCAGTATGACTAAGTAAACTCATGGATTTGATTCCATTGGTTTTGAATCTTGGCGATGACGATAGAAGAGGACAAGATGCGATTGGGTTTTGTGTCTGTTAATTCGGCTTACCTGTGTAAATACAGGTTTTTATGACAGCCCGAAAGATAAGATTTAGTAGAAGAGAGGTCTTTTCAAGTGAGCTTTGACGTAATTGTGAGTTGTGTGTGACTCTGTTATCGTGACGTGTTGGTTCTTACCGTTGTCTCACATATAGCGAAACCAAGACAAGTTCATTTTTTGCGAATCGTGCTCGTAAGCCACCCATAAGTTTTCTCAAATCGCTATCAATTGCAATTTGTTGTATACAAAAAGCTCACGTGATTCGTGAGAAAAGGTTTGGATTCAGTGACTTCATCCTATAGTCATCAGTAAGTCTGAGTAGACCGACCGACATCGACATGTTTAGCTCCATTTGTTGATGATGGTCATGTGTGACAACAGCTGGGAGCCTATGCAACATCGTGTGGTTGATATCGTCCAATGTTTATTCTATTTAATTTGACGACCAAATCTTATGTTGCATTACTTGCGTGGCTGCGGCATCTGTCAATGATCTGAACAGCTCATTGATACAGTGGACGATAGATCATTTGGTAAAGGCATATGGATACAGACGTAAGTTGAGTATCCTCGAACTTGATCCAACATGTGTCTCCGCTACTTTACATTCCGACTTCATTATTTTGTGTCCAAGTCTGCTGACGGGATACATTGGGTTGGTGTATATGTAACAATAAACTGTAGAAACTTGTCTCTCGTAGCTGTATCCATCATGTTTCAATATGACGACCAGTTTGGGTTGTTCCTGCGCAACATGTGACATTCATATGGCTACATTTCTTTGTAAAGCTTGAAAAAAACGGGTTGCAATGAAAAGCGAGGGATGTACAATGATAGTATCGCTACGCTACAAGATAATCTAGTACATTATTCGATGAATGATCGATCGTCATTCACGACACGGCAATTATCTGCGTCTAATTGACGAGCATGTAGCAAAATGTTGGAACAATCAGGTTAGATATCAGACGCAAACAATCATAGCTGAAACCAATTGACCCCACAAACCGAGATAGCAAGTTACTTGATGCGAGATACAAACTTGTACTGGCTCAGCTGTCGAAGCGATCCCTTCTGCACCATAGCTCGTATCGCACGTTGGATAGCGTTCGGGCCATAGCCTTGTGCCTCAAGACGACTGTATAATGCGCTGGTCTCGACGCGTGTGCCAATGCGCAGAGTGCGATTAATACTCTGCTCTACCTCCTGTGCTTTTTCGTGCAAACCACCAAAGAGTCCTTGTGTGCCGCCGTCCTTGGCTGCATTCATTGTACTCACACTAAATAACCGAATAGCCTCTTGCACATGCTCACGCGTAGCTTCACTGAGTAAGTGCATCTTTGCTAGTGATTCCGAGATACGTACAAGAGCTTCAAGCTGACGTACAGTAACAGGGATAGTCGTTTCACCGCCTTGCGTACGACGCACATCGTCACGTACGCCAACGTAAAAATCCTGAAGAGCTTGCACTGCTTCAACCGATAGTCGTGGAGCGCAACGGGTACGACAATAAGTAATGAATTTTTTGAGTAACCACGGCTCAAACTCACCGCCACTAGTGCCATTTTCACTGGTCGAGGAGTTTCCAGCCGCCGCCGATGCATGTGCGTTCGTATGCATCCGAACCACGTGTGCAGCCATTTGTCTATCCCTTGCATCATCCTGGATATCACGGACGATAAAAATCATATCAAATCGACTTAAAATTGTACTCATTAAATCAATATTTTCAGAAGCAGAGCGCATGTCATCATAACGACCGAATACAGGATTTGCAGCAGCCAAGACACTTGTACGTGAATTCAAAATCGTCGTAATTCCAGCTTTTGCAATCGATATTGTCTGTTGTTCCATAGCTTCATGAATAGCCACACGATCCGATTCCCGCATTTTATCAAATTCATCAATGCATACAACACCTCCATCGGCCAAGACCATCGCACCTCCTTCAAGATAAAATTCTCCTTTAGAATCACGAATGACTGACGCCGTAAGACCAGCAGCACTACTACCTTTACCCGATGTGTAGACACCTACAGGAGCAATTTTCTCTGTAAATTTTAAAAATTGAGATTTTGCGGTACTTGGATCTCCAAGTAATAAGACATTAATATCACCACGTAAGATCATTCCATCGGGTAAACGTTTTCTGGAGCCACCAATTAGTAAACAAATAATTGCTTTTTTCATATTGACCGTATACTCACCATAAATGGAAGGAGCAATACTTGCTGCTAATTTCTCATAAAGATTCGGATTACGTGCCATTTCATGGAATTTTTTCTTCCTCAGCAGGTGAAAATGTTGCTTTCGCTCGTCCAGCACCTTCTTCATCAATTTCAATTCCAACAACTCGTATATAAAGTGTACGTATGGCTATTGCACCAATCTGTTTACTTCCACCATTGATTATGGATGTAATCCCTACTATTGATACACGAGTACCAGGAGATACTTTATCAACCAAGTGACGATCAGCTATTAATGCTAAGTTGCGCGGCATTTCACCCGTCGGTACGACTTCTGGATTTTCCTGCAACTTAAGTGTTTGTTGATCAACGTAATCACCTTTATCTGGTAATACCATGTAACAATCTTTGGGACACATTTCGCCTGGAGTCATCATATTGTCATTGTCTCGATTACGGTCACAAATGCGAGGGATATTAACCCCACCCATTCCTGATACGGCCACACGTTTGGTGTGACCACAATTGCGACATCTTAAAGTTGCCGAGATACATTTCGTGCGCACTCGTGTGGCACTGATTACGATACCAGGAACTTTGACAAGCCGGTTAATTTCTTGAGCATGTACATGTCGAAGTGGTACTGGGGTTTGGTCACTAGTCAAAATTACTTGAATGTCAGGGACGTTTCCTTTGACTGTCAAAGTCATATCAGATGATGACTCACCCATTGCGGCAAAGGACGACTCGTTGGCTGACACGAGCAGCTGCGTCAAAATTTCCTTTGCCGCATTTTCCATAAGTGGCAATTGTTCCTTTGGGCTTTTCAGTAAAAGATCTTGCAGCTCTTGGTCGAAAACTGCCAAGTGTGAGACATTCACAGTCACGAACCAATAATGGCGTCGTGCATTGGCTAGAAGCTGCTCCCGGTAAAAGAATAGCGGGCCAACGCGAAAACCACGAAGAAAAGATACCAGACGACGCTGTAGAGATGCTGGATCGGTATGTGGCGGATCAATGGATCTTGCTTGCGTGCTCTCCATGCCCACGGCAGATACGCGACCTACATCCCAGTCCATTATTGCGAAAGTGAAAAGCAAAGGGAAGATGTACACAAGATTTACATACAATAACAGGTGTGTCTAGATTTGTTATTTGTAAGCCTAAAAGGATCTTCATTGGATTCACACGTCAAACTAATTCAGCCAATCACATTGCGAAGTGCATACCCCTAAAAAAGCAATTGATCAGGCAATGTCTGCTGACCGGCAACCTATAATAGCCATGTGCCCAGTCTAATATTAAGCAATCTCATGTCTTGTAATAACAAACTTGCCCCATTGTTTATTCTTACTGAAGCTAGTGACAATTCTTACCACCATTCATTGCAGTGCACAAGCTCGCACGGTCATATATTGATGACAATCAAAACGACTGCTAGTCAATTGTGTGGGTTGCATGTATATCTATATCATAACTCCAATGATACATGGCTGTTACTTGTGCCAGCACATTACTCAAAGAAGTTATAATTGCCCACTTTATCTCTTAGAGGAGAATATATATGTAACAACACTCATTTGTTCATATGAAGCTTTTTTATTGTGTCACTACGTCTCTAAGACGCCATACTTTGTAGCTCATTGTACAATAGACAGATCACACAATCACAATGATAAATGCATTCAGGTCTCATGTTAATGCTTCAATTCTTTCATCATCTAAATTGACTGAATACATATGTTACACAGTGATTAAGGTGTGATACCCTGCACGTGTAACTGAGTGTTGGCTGATTGAAGCCGAATAGACACTTTCCATACTCACTTAGATTTAGTGTAAGTAACTCGGACTTATCGATAAGAACCAACACGTCACGATAACAGAGTCACACACAACTCACAATTACGTCAAAGCTCACTTGAAAAGACCTCTCTTCTACTAAATCTTATCTTTCGGGCTGTCATAAAAACCTGTATTTACACAGGTAAGCCGAATTAACAGACACAAAACCCAATCGCATCTTGTCCTCTTCTATCGTCATCGCCAAGATTCAAAACCAATGGAATCAAATCCATGAGTTTACTTAGTCATACTGATACACAGGTAAATAAAAAACACGTAAATAAGGCCATTCACCATCAATCCACCACCATCCAAGCACCAAACCCCCCACTTGATTCAGCTCAAAACCCACATCCAAGTCAACAAGTCGTTATATCTCCTTCCTTCACCATGTTACGTCGTCTAACCTGTAGTTCTATCAAGACAAAGATTCGTCATTATACCTCGACGTCAGACTTATACAAGAATCCACGTAGTTCTAAATTTTCCATGACTAAAATTGTAGCAACGATTGGTCCTGCATCTGAAGAGCTCAATCTGCTTCAAAAGCTCACAAATGAAGGATTACGTATCATGCGCATTAACTTTTCACATGCAGAATACGATGAAGCGCTTGCACGTATTGAGAATCTACGAACTTGTCGAGGTGTACACGCTCAGACTCAATCGACATTTAATCTACGTGCTGTACTGCATGATACGAAAGGTCCTGAAATTCGTACGGGTAAAATGCTCGATAACAAGAAGATTATGCTTCAAAAGGGACAAGAAGTTGTCTTAACAACTGATCGAGAGTTTGAACTAAAGGGCACAGCTGAAAAGTTTTACATTACGTACAAACAACTTGCAGAGACGGTGAAAGTTGGTGATACCGTGCTACTATGTGATGGATTGATACGACTGACGTGTACAGGTGTTGGTAAAGGAGAAATTACCTGCATGATTGAAAATACAGAGGAGATTGGAAACAATAAAGGTGTCAACCTTCCTGGATTGATTGTAGATCTTCCAGCTTTATCAGAGAAAGATAAGCGCGATCTTGATTGGGGTGTCAAGCATGATATTGATTTCATTGCTGCGTCTTTTATTCGTAAAGCCAGTGATGTAAACGAGATCCGATCGTATGTGGACGAGTGTGTCAAGAAACATTGGGCACACCAACCAAACTATATTGCTCCAAAGATTATCTCAAAGGTCGAGAACCTAGAAGGTGTTGAGAACTTTGAGGAGATTCTGGATGCTTCAGATGGGATCATGTGTGCACGTGGCGACCTGGGGGTCGAAGTGCCTGCTCAGAAGGTGCTGACATACCAAAAGATGATGGTCGACAGGTGTAATGCCGTCGGTAAACCTGTGATTGTGGCTACACAGATGCTCGAGTCGATGCAATACAATCCGCGACCCACACGTGCTGAGGTCTCGGATGTTGGCAATGCCGTGCTAGACGGTGCTGACTGTGTCATGCTCAGCGGTGAGTCTGCTCAGGGCAAATACCCGATTGAGTCTGTGAGTACCATGAACACGGTGATTAAGGAAGCCGACGAGCTGCTGTTGCAACCGACGTACCGTGCCAAATTCCAGTTCGACCCGCCAACCTCAGATGTCGAGTCTGCTGTGTCGTCTGCTGTCAAAACTGCTAATGAGATGCACGCGCAGCTCATGATTGTGCTGACCCGCACGGGTTACACGGCTCGTAAGGTTGCCAAGTATAAACCTACCGTGCCGGTCATGTGCTTCACCACTGACAAGAAAGTCGGCCGTCAGCTTCAGATCCACCGTGGTCTATACCCTGTCGTTCCTGACTACCTTGACCAGGCACCGACTACTGCGGAGGCTGTTGCCCATGCCAAAAAGATAGGATGGCTCTCTTCAGGTGACCGTGTCGTTGTGATCAGCGGTGACAAGCCCTCGGCCGACCTTGGCCGTGCAATTATCATTAGCGTGGCTGACGTGCAGTAAGCTTTGTTAGACTGAGGCCCTATTGCTAGAAATAGTGGACGATAGGTTTCTAAAATGCACAACAAATGAAAAACGGATTGTCAAAGCGTGAGCGTCTTACTGTCACCGTCTCTGTATTGAGTCTTTTTTTTTCTCTTCTCTTCTAGTTTCTATATCTTCTGGCTGCACAATACAATGGCAGATTCGTAACGCCGGAGCTTGTTTAACTATGATCGATTGGTAGTAAATCAATACTTAGTCGAAGCTTTATCAGTCTAGAATGGCTTGTCACTAATACTAATGTCTAGCTTTCTCAAATTGATTACTATCAGATATTCAAGCTTTATATAAAGAGCGCTTGAAACTCTGATTAGAGAAAGATGCGTCTTGACCAATGCATCGGCAGACTCTTAAGCATTCATATTACTTTTTTTCTATAACACGAATCAGTAAGAAGTAGTATAGTCATGACCATTGATGATGAGGTTGCGAATGCAGGAAACAATGAGGTTCACCAAAACTTGTTTAAGCTGATACCTCATGACAAAAAGTGCTTCGTATCTAAAGTATGTTATAGTCATCTTACCCCTTTTTTAGCTGGTTTTTCGAACAGCTAAAAAAATTATTAGATAGCAGGTAATAGAGGTTTTAGAAGCTTGAATATCGGGAGACGAGGTTCGTGGGACGGCAGCTTTCAATCCATTTAGGCAGGGCTTATCACGTTAGCCAGGTTCTATTGCACACATCCACAGATATTTTACATTCTATAAAAGAATTGAGACAGGTGCTAACAGTCTGTATAGTCATAAAAACCATCTGTACTGTTCGAAAGCACGCCATGGACAGTGTGGATAGTTCCAGCGATCCCGTTGTTGGTTGTAGTACGGTTTGTACCGTACCCACCTCACATTAAAGTGGCTATACCACAAAAGTGGCTATACCACAAAAGTGGCTATACCACAAAAGTGGCTAGAAACATTGCGTTTCCCTTCTTCATGCTTGCAGTTGGCACGAGGTCCTAATCTTTTGCTGTGCGGTGCTGCAGATCTATCTATAAATATATGATCATTAGCGACGTTCTAGTTAGTATGTATTGCTCCGCTTCGTGGTGCGTTTGAAGTGCTGTGTACTTGAATTTAAAACCAATCTCAAGCGTCTCATCTGTTTTAGCCTTCAATGTGGCAAATCTATTCATCCACCAATATGTACAAAAACGTTCTCGTGGACTCGTGCGCGTCATGCTGCAGCTGACATTCATACAACAACAGAATCAAGGGTTTTTCTTGACTCGTCTGGAACCAATTGAATCTGGCTATTGACTCCACAGAATTATTGAGAATTCATAGAAACGGACCGTTCACATACCTCGTAGGCTATTTTTGGATCCATTCGTCAGCGATTTGTACATGTCTAATTGACCGAGGACGTTAAGGGCTTTCTTCCAATCAATACGAAAAGTTCAAGCTAAGCTTTATTCGTGTAAGGTTATACGGCTTATACAAGTCCATTGGTTCATATTTCATCTCACTCAGTCTTTGTGTTCGTCGTGACACCATTCTTCAATTATCTGTGTCGAAACAACAACACAAAAGCTTGGGTAACGGGTTAATCGATCAATTGTCATGTTTAATCAAATTATTGATAAAGTATGGAACTCCGTTGATACGACACTATCGGGTGCCGATTATAACATTGCCACGACGCCTACTGGCGGTGGTAGATCTCAGAAAGGTGAAATCGCGTTTGCATTGTCGATCATTCTATTCCAAGCTGTGTGTTTAGTCTTTTTTGCACTCAAGTTTAACATGCCGAACCCCAAGAACAACAATGACGGCAATACTAGCACTCTGAGCTACTATTCCATGTATATGGACGTCCACGTCATGATTTACATTGGTTTTGGTTTCTTGATGACCTTCCTACGCAAATATAGTATGAGTGCAGTTTCACTCAACTTTCTCATTGCTGTACTATCCCTTGAATGGGGCATCATCATGGTCACAATGGCTCACCAAATTTTTGAAAACAATTACTCGACTAAAATCCTCGACATTCCCACCATGATCAATGGTGACTTTGCAGCTGCTGCTGTGCTCATCAGCTTTGGAGCTGTCCTGGGTAAAACAACACCCACTCAGCTTGTGTGGATGACATTTTTCGAAATCATTTTCTACGCCATTAACGAGTACATTGTTCTGGAGAAACTAAAGGTGACCGATGCCGGTGGATCCATGGTCATTCATACTTTTGGTGCCTTTTTTGGACTAGCAGTGACCATTGTACTTGGCGTTCCATCTACCTATGAGCAAGTGCACAACACATCTCAATACCATTCAGATGTGTTTGCAATGATTGGTACACTCTTTCTGTGGATATACTGGCCATCGTTCAACTCGGCACTTGTGAATGATGACGGTTTTCAGAAAGAGCGCGCTATCATGACCACTGTATTGAGCATTGCAGCGTCCTGCGCATCGGCCTTTGCCACAACAAAGGTGATAAACAGCTCGAAGAAATTCAATATGGTGCATCTGCAAAATGCCACTCTGGCAGGTGGTGTTGCAATGGGTACAAGCTGCAACCTCGCAATCAGCCCAGCTGTAGCCATTATCGTGGGAATCGTGGTTGGTATGATCTCTGTGATGGGTTACGTTTTCCTAACTCCATCTTTAGAACACATCTTGCGAATGTCCGATACGTGTGGCATTTTCAATTTGCATGCAATGCCAGGTCTCGTGGGTGGATTTGCAGGTGCTTTGACCACTTTTTTCAGCTCTGACAATTACTATGGAGATAGTTTAACTTCCATCTATGAAGCTCGTGCCTACCGTTCTGCTTCCGAGCAAGGTTGGTACCAGCTTCTCGCAATCGTGTCTTCAATGGGAATTAGCTCTCTTTCTGGCCTCGTTGTTGGAATGTTTCTAAAATCTACATGGTTCCGCCAACAGAAACTCAAGTACGACGACAAGGAGTGGTTTCACATGCCTGAAGCTTGTGAAATCTGAGCAGCTATGTTGTAATATGAAGCCATTTGCAGCTTGTTATGTAAATCTTCAGCCAAATTTTTGATACCATCATTACATGCTCGACCATTTTCAGGCCACAGTTTTATACAAATTACTGCAGAAAACAAAAAAAACGGTACTTTAACCTCGAAAACATAATATACTGTCGTTTGTTTCTTCCATTTGACATTTCAATCTGATTTTTCCCAATTTAAATGTGAATATCAACATGAATTCTGCTTCCAAATATTACACAAAATTATATTGTTATTTACCACAACACAAAAATCGACGACTTTTCAAAGAAAACAACAAAACGAGAGAAAGAAAAAATAAAAAACCAATTTCTTACCATCACTTGTGCAGCGTCGGACTTGAATTGTGCATCTCTTCAAATATCTTACCACTTTCTTCAATAGCTCTTCTTCTATCGTAGAATATCTCCTACATTCCTCTCCTTGGTTCGATATCTATCTATATACCTACCTCTATCGTAATTGAACACCTTCTTCTTCCTTCTTGACGCTACATATTTCAATTATGACGGACACAACAAGACTTCAACACAAATGTGAAAATCTGAAAGCGACAATTGAATTGAAACGAAAGGAAAAAAGCCGACGGTGGATTTCAAAAGATGACCAATGGTCATATCAATTTATTCAAGCCTTTTATACTTTCTCCCAAGTGTAGACGAGTCCTTAAAGGTCATTTTGGTAAGATATATGCCATGCAATGGAGCAGTGATAATACAAGTCTTTTATCCGCGTCACAGGATGGAAAACTCATTGTATGGAATGGATATACAAGTAATAAGATACAATCCATTCCATTGCGGTCTAGTTGGGTCATGACCTGTGCTATTGAACAAACGCAACGTAATATGGTCGCATGTGGAGGTCTTGACAACCTCTGCAGTATCTTTCACTTGTCACAGACACCAGTTATTCGAGCGACAAAAGAACTAGCAGCTCATGATGGATACTTAAGCTGCTGCAGGTTTATTGACGAAACAAACATTGTTACAAGCTCGGGAGACTCTAATTGCATCCTTTGGGATATTGAGAGTGGAGACGTAAAGACAACGTTTCGTGAACATTCTGGAGACGTCATGTCCGTTAGTATTAATCCGAATGATCCAAATATGTTTATTTCAGGATCGTGTGACTCTACGGCTAAAGTCTGGGATATCCGGATGGGCAAAACAACACACACGTTTCAAGGACACGAGTCAGACATTAACTCGGTGGATTTTTTCCCCAGTGGTAACGCTGTCGGCACTGGATCAGATGATTCAAGCTGTCGACTCTTTGATCTGCGTGCGTATGGAGAGCTGAACAACTTTAGCAACGACAAAATTCTATGTGGCATCACATCCGTGAGTTTTTCCAAGTCTGGACGCTTTCTTTTTGCAGGATACGACGATTACAATTGCTATTGCTGGGATGTGCTTAGCACCACAGGTGCACACATTTACCAACTTGCGGGTCACGAGAACCGTGTGTCCTGTATTGGTGTTAATGCGGCAGGACAGGCACTGTGCACAGGCAGCTGGGATACCTTACTGAAGATATGGGCATAGATACATTTTAATTTGTGGCCAACTTGTTGAGTAAAGCACCGTCACGACACAATGAAGGACGCACTAATACAAGAACCTCATGTAGATCAGTGATGAGTAATCGAAAGAATGTATACGTATTTGCATTTGGCCTATCGGTTCTTTCTCAGAGTCGGTTTTAGGCGACCATCACTGGACATTTTGGTGCTAGTTTCATATGGAAGCGTTGTCGTATGCACAGCTACCGCCGTCTTTCTTATTAGATCACACCTGTCTTCGCCGCACACGACACACTTTATTTCCAGCAAGGCCTTGGGGATCATCTTAGTTTCATTCATGAGCAGTCTTCTTCAGCCCGTAGAATACACGACAAAACTTGGGTACGAAACTGCTGCCGATTGCATTCCCTTGGGCGACTCAAGCAAGACATCGTCATTCTTCCGCGTTGAGGTAGAGCAATTTTGACCTCAAGCTGATCGACCGCTTGATCGGATACCCAGTTGCACAGCTAACTGGTGTATGTCTCATGTTAACCACAGCTTCCAGAAATCGGTCCCATAACGTCAGAGTGAACAAGTCAAGTCTGTGTCATCTTGTTTTGGCAGCTTCCACCACACAAGTTCTTGTTCTTGAAAGCGTCAAACCTTAGCAGAACTGTAATGTCAATCTTACAGTGTAACCAAACGGTTCCCTACCTAATCACGTTCAAACTCGCAGCGACAGCGACGCAAACTTGGGTCAGTTTCTTCCATTCGTGGCAGCAAACAACAATCAAAACACTTGTGATACGACTCGTTCAGGACTCGTGGCCATTTAACATCATATTGAGCACCATTGTCAAGTGCGTGGCACGAAAAGAAGATCGAGATGAACCACAAAAATAGCTATGATTAGCTTGTCAATGCTCGGGTTCCTTCGTCAGACTACCACAGCACAGACAGCTGGTCTAAAGGCTAACCTACATGCAGCAACTATAGTCTTAAAAAATCAGCTGGGTTGTCTTCGTGTCCCTGCGTCAGCTCACCCAAGTGCGTGCGTGACTCCATATGACGCAGACGTAGTTTGACGAGAGGTTCATGGTATCAGCGTCCAATCGGTAGTCATGTTATTGCACCTGAGAGTGCAAGTAATGACAGCCTCCGAATCCAGATGAGTGCTCTTTCCGTGTTTTGACATGTGTAAACGAACGCCTTGGACATCGCTGTTAGCCCGTGGGACATACGTACTTCATAGCGTGATACTCTTAGAGGTGATGGAGCGCCGAGAGGGAGGTCATTTACTCGATGTAACATATTTACAGCCAACCTGGGCCATATTTTCTTCGTTGCGAGTATCCTACTCGGTTTCTACTCTAGCACACATGTTAAAAGCCATCAGTTACAGCTGTATGGCTTGTTCTCCTCTATATCGTCGTCACACCATGCTATCGATCGTTGTTGACTTTATTTCTACACCACACACTTCTGCTTCACTCCGATCATCATGAAGGGCCGATTCATTGTCAATCCGTTCCAGGAACTCAACTTAACTTCGGGTGATCGCACCTCGCTTGAAGACCTGGCCAACCAATGTATCGCGAGCAATCTCGAGCTATGCATGAAGTACATGTCGGGTTCGCAACGAAGCGTAGACCCGCGCCACTGGAAGCTGCTAAAGGAGAAAGAAAAGCTTAAGGTGTATACGGAAAGACCTGAGGGTGCAGCTGCTGCAGCAGCTTCCGGTAACGAAGCAACCGGGTCGGGACTTCCTATGCTTCTGTGCGTCGGTAACATAGGCGGCAAATTGGAAGACCTTTTGTTTGGTATGATCAGTGAAGACTTGGAAACAATGCGCATCAAGGCTTCGTACGTTGGCGACGTCAGTGGAGCAGCTGTGCTTGATTCCGTGATCCTTCCGACACTAGAAGACCCATTCCAATCGCTGGCGATAAAATGGATGGAGCTCGATATTCCGTTTAACTCGACGAGTCTCGTCAAGAATCGTGACTATGTTTACCTCGAGGGAACAGGCTACGTGACCAACTCAAATGGCGAGCGTATGGGCTATCACCTCTTGCACTCGGTGAACTTTCCACAAACTCACAGACTACCGAACCGTGTTCGCGGCAACCTCTCCATCATTGGCTTTTGGCGGCAGATTGGAAACGATACGATGGAAATGTATGCTACTGGGGTTATGGATCCTGTTGCTTCTGACCTCATCCGCAAGCTCGTGGTTCCGAACATGGCCAACATGTTGCTATCGACTCTTAAGTACGTCTATTGCGGACACATGAAGAAGCTGTCGTTTATGCTCGAGAAAGCATATGCGGACTCCAAGTTGCACGGCGCACCAAACAGGAAGATTATTTGTGTCACGTGCTCGTCACCGATCTTTGGCCGAAAGCTGGGCAATTTCGGCAAGAGCAACAGTACGTGCAAGCTTTGCTTTGGGTTTGTGTGTCACGCATGCAAAGTCGTTCGTAAGCTGAGCTTTGTAGATCCGGATCTTCTTCTATCGCAGCGCAGGGTGACTTTCTGTACGGCATGCATGAGCTTAGTCGCGAACTTTAGCTCCGTACACTGTGCTCGTGCGCGGATGCTCAAGCACCGAACGGTAAACCGCTCAAGTGCGGATCAAACATTGCCATTCGCAGATAGCATTTGGGAATAGTCATACGCAAGGATAAAGTACGTGAAGATTATAGCATAGTTTGAATACAGTAGTAATGAGTACATGTAGCTGACTACAGAAGCTTAATGCGTTCACTGAAATTCAGTTACAGTGATGACGACTAGAAGACAGTTTTCAGTAAGTTTACAGTGATGACGACTAGAAGACAGTTTTCAGTAAGCTTATTGGGCTTGCTTGATTCATTGAGAATATGAAGCACCGAGTACTTTATTCGTGCTTGAAACGGCTGAGGACGCATTGAGGATAGAAGATGCGTCGTTTCTTATCCACCATTTTTACACTTCTATCAGAAGTGAAGAAGACTTTGTCCTATCCCGGCTAGCTTGGGTCTGATAATGCATAACCCGGAGCTTCAGTTCTCAACTCATTTCTTCTTACACAAGTAGATTCACAGCAATGGTGAAAGGGCGCTTTATTATGAACCCATTCACGGAGTTGGCTCTCTCGGGAAATGATCACTCGCAACTTGAGACATTAGCAAAGACTTTGATCATGTCGAACCTTGAGAAATACTTGGCATATCAGGACGAAAAGATAAAAGGAGTGGTGGATCCACTCCGGTGGAAGCTGTATAAACAGCATCAAGGAGTTACGATATACGTTGAGCGACCAGGCTGTACTTCATGTAGTGAGCATGTTTCTGGCAATGACTTGCCGTTGATTCGGGGCATTGGTAACGTGGAAGGTAAACTTGACGATCTTATGTACGGTCTCGTAAGTCCAACGCTCGAGATGATGCGTGTCAAGGCCTCGTATGTTGAAGACTTTAGCGGTGCTGCAGTGCTCGATAGCATTGTCGAGCCTTCCCTGGAGGATCCTTTCCAAGCTTTAGTTGTCAAGTGGATGGAGATTGACATTCCGTTTGCTTCAACAAGTCTCGTCAAGAATCGCGACTACGTGTACATTGATGCAACGGGCTTTGTGCGTACCAAGAACGGTGAGCGGTTGGCATATCACCTTATGCACTCGGTGAATTTCCCCAAGACGCCAGACCTACCGAACCGAATCCGTGGCAAACTATCATCGGTGGCATTCTGGCGGCAGACCGGACCTAACGCTATAGAATTCTTTGGTACTGCCGTCATGGACCCAGTTGGTGCTATGACGAAACTGATTGCTGTTCCTACCATAGGTGGTCTCTTTTTCTCTACTTTAAAGTATGCTTTTTGCGGTCAAATGAAGAAATTGACGTTCATGCTTGACAAGAAATATGCTGAATCCAAGCTGCAAGGTATACCCCAGAGGAAGAACGTGTGTGTCACGTGCTCGAGTCCAATGACTGGTAGACGACTTGGCAACTTTGGCAAGAGCAATCATACATGTAAACTCTGTTGTGGGTTTGTATGTCACGGCTGCAAGATCATTCATAAGCTTAGCTTTATTGATTCTGATTTGCTTTTGTCGCAGCGAAAGGTGACATTTTGTGCCTCGTGCATTAGTGAATCAACGAGGATGAGTTCGAGTACTACAGCTCGTACTCAGTTGGTAGCTAGTGGTACAAATATTCAAGGACAGACAAACTCGAGAATGCATTTGTTTGATTTATCAGACAGCATTCATTCGAATAGTATTGTCTATGAATATTAGAGGTAGTAAGTAGTATAGACTATAGATGAGTAACAAGATATTATTGTTAATACTGTTCAGTATGTAGCAATCATTACGACTAGTTGACTTTTTGGCTTATTATGTGTAGCAATATTAAGACGGTTATTACTACTTTTCATGATATTATTTTATTGTTTAGAGTGATATTTTATGACACTCGACTACGTCGTCGAGATTCAGATCGGTCATAGCAATCTGCAATTTTCTAGGCACTTCCGAGAATGACGTATAATACACAATATTTACAGTTACATGTTTCTATTGTAGCCGTATGTCTAGCCCCGTTTACTATAACGCAGTATTCTTTTTAGTGGGTAAAAGTGCGAGTAATCGCTCGGAAAACCGCTGGTACGTAAGTCAAACCTGAAGAAACACCACAATCTCACATCCTTTACAATACCTTATTAAATATATATACACTAGTGATAGTGGTTTTTGAAAGTCACTATCACTATGCTAAGCTTTGAGCTCCATGTGTTGAATGTTATTACATGTGATACAAGAAGGTGTCTTTTATGACACGGGCTATAGTCAGTTGTGGTATATCATTCATTCGTCTGATAAGGTTTGAACCACCAACTGATCATGCAAGACTATGGGACTATGGAACTGAAAGAGCAAGTTTCTAACTAGCAAAAGACCATTCAATTTGTAGCAAGCAACGGTGCTACCAAAGGGTTGGTAGCGAAATATCATGAGACATGGCGCTGTTTACTTAGTGCGTATATGATCGGGTTGTGCTCTACTGGACTTAATCATGAGTAAAGGTGCAAAGATTGATACTGTCGATCATGTATGACACTCTGCTTGCCACGTTGGATTGGGCTACGTATTGAAATTTTTACCGTCTGAACAAAGCGTCAAGTATAAAGGTTTGATCTGACCGTGATGGAGATACCTACGTCGTCCAAACGACAGGCGAATGGTTGCATAGACGACATTGTTGAGATGGACGCTGCAGTAGCTACGAATTTGCTGCTGAGGAGGTGGCCGGCTATTTGTCGAGATAACGTTGGAAATCGACTTGAGCTCTACCAACCTTTTACAAAGACATGCTGGTCAGCAACGAGATTTACGTATTTATGTGACGACATTGGCTTTTTCGTGGCGTGGCACTTGTTGATATCAGGAATCTGCCGTTTATGCGATGACCAAGATAGCCCACAAGACGATACAAAGATAAGTAGCACTGCAGCTGAATGTGTGACGTGTGGTAAAACAGGTGGATACAAATGCTCTTTGTTGAGTGCGTAATGACGCCGTGATGCGAAGGAAAGGAGCCGTCCTGCAATCTTGTTGTGTTTTGTCAAGTTTGTTAAGGAAAGCATGGATATTTGAGTCGTATTGTGTCTGAATCATGTTGGCATGGTCACAAATACATGTCTGGAAATCATACACGTCTAGTGTTGTTTTGTTGATGATAACTTTGAACTTGATGTAAGTATATGGAACGATAAGTTGGTTGATAAGGATGAAACGGAATGACGAGTAGTTGTTCATTCTGTAGACGCTGCTAATTGTGCTGTAGGAGTTGTTATGGTATTGGAATCGTTTGTGTCCGCCTCTGTGTTATTACCAGATATGAAGTCCTCGTGACAAGGTTTGAAAGACGTGGTCAATGTGCAGACACAAGAAGACATTAATTCAATTGCAGCCAAGAACGCGCACCAGAGTTTTTGCCAAACGATCAATATTGCTACTTGTCTGGTGTAATATAGTGCATCTTCACATCCATGGCTTTGCATGGTCTCACGTGTAACTTGATTGTCAATACGAAAAAGCCATGCATTTTACAGAGAGGACCAGATGGATTGACAAATACCGCGATGATAAGCTTTGATGCTGCATGATACTGGATGTTCGTTTATTCCACATGCATGTTTACACTAACGTCATGGTGCCATGTAGTTGCAGAGACTATCGATGCGAAATTAAGCAGCCACTCCTACAACCTCGTCAGCTGGAGAGATTTTTTGCACGCGCATCATGAGCGGGTACTTCATACCAATTGTGAGTCCTATGGAGCAGGCGACATTTTGACCAGGCACTTCGTCCAGGCGGAATCGACTTACTACACAGGCGACTACCATTTTCATTTCCATCATGGCAAGTTTGCGCCCAACGCAGACACGCGGACCCGTGTTAAATGCACTAAACTTGCCAGACGACACTTTGAGCATTTTGCCCGTGCGAGGATCGATGAATCGTTCTGGTACGAACGATGCAGCGTCGGCACCCCAAACATGCGGCATACGAGCCATTGCATGGTAAATGAGTGCGATGTTTGACCCTTTTGGAATAAACGTGCCGTCCGGGAAAACAGTGTCACGGACGCACAGTTTCTGTGCCATGCCCACAGGTGAATACAAACGCAGCCCCTCGCAGATCGTCGCCTCCAGATACACTAAGTCGTGCACTTCGTGTACGTCCGGGATGTAGTCCTGGTCCGTGCCAAGCTGTGGCAAGTGTTTGATTAGTTCAGCACGTAGCTTACTTTCAACGCGCGGGTTGAGCGTGAGCAAATGGAACAGCCATGCTAATCCATCTGCTGCCGTATCACGGCCAGCTATTAATGCCATGAGCACGATGTTGCGAACCAAGATGGGGTTCACAGGTTTGCCGTCCACCGTTTCGTTGGCAAGTATAAGAGAAACGATGTCACGATTGGGACTCGTGCCTTTATCGTTGTCGTCATTGCGCTTCTCCATTGTTCTTGAAATGACATTGATGACGAAGTTGTCGACGGTTGCCAACGCCTCACGGAGGTGTTTTTCGCTTCCTACGTTCAACCAGCGCTTTAGTTTCCAGTACCAAATGGGAACTATCAGTCGAGCTGCGACGATGTGTTGCGCTTTTACGAAAGCTTTTTCGAATGGGTGCTCGTTCGTTAGCGTGAGTGTGCTCATGTTGAAGCCGAAAGCGATCTCTCCAAATGCATCGAGTGTAAACCGACCTGAGTACGTAAGTATGTCGATTGTGTCTTGTGATTTAGCGGCATCTGTAAGCACATGCTGCAGTACACGAATATGTTTCCGAATGATAGGAGCCATATGCTCCCGCAGCGCGCGAGAACTGAAGAGATTGACGAATACTCGACGATGAAACTTCCACTCGTCACCTTCAACGATCAAGATGCTGTCACCTAGTAAGTCCACAAGCAAGTCGTAGATGTGGTCGCCTTTGACAAAGTTGTCGTACTGCGTCTTCATGACGTGTTCGTAGTGCTGTGGATTAGCAGTGAGGATCATGTCACGTTGAAACGGCAGACTCAGTGTGAACGGTGCTCCATTGCGAGATAGAAAGACGTCCGTGACCCAGTCTAAGAACCTATTGGCGTGATAGGCCATGAAGACAGCGTGCCCAACAAAGGGAATTGCTGACGGTAAGAAGGGGACTCGAACGGGTCCTCGTGCTCCCGGTGTGACGTTCTGTCGCTGCTTAGCGAGTTTCTTATCGGTGTTGTCTTTTGGCAGACATTGTGAGGTGACGGCGGCACCGACAAAGATTCCGAGCATCAGCAGTCCGAACTTTTTGAACGGATCATCGCTATTGAGAAACCAAGCAAGCATGGGACAAGTAGTTCAAGGTGACTTTGTCAACTTATTGATGTGGAGGTGCGATTGATTGTGATGCTCATGAGTTTGACAGAGCGGCACCTTGTAGCACCACATCAAGTACCTTTCCACTGATTTCGTGAGCATGTTCCCCGAATCGAGTACACGTATAGAAAATGCACAAATAGCACTGGGCTTAACAGGGATGATAGCAAAGGCGTTGGGAAGCGATAGTCTGCAGCGGAGGCTCACATATGACAGATGGTACAGAGATTAGGAGCTCATCCTCTAGACTCGAGTCATCAATTGGATGACCCTAGCCCAAAGTTTAACGAACAAGAAGATGGGCTGACGCTTGCACGGACAAATCCAACCGGATAGTGGAACTAAAGTCGAGGATTTCAGTGTAGGTGAGTGTTTGTATGACCAATGCCTGATGGTCTCATGGTATCGCGTCAGACATGGTAGTCGGTAGGAGACGCACTCATGATCGAGGAGAGGTCCAGAGGTCCTAAAGCATGTATTCAGGATTAGTAGGTCTACCCCGTTGTCATCCCGCAAACCAGATCTGTAGCCCCTACAGAATACTGTCAAGGACGGTGAGGAATGCACATCGTGCCACTGTGCGGAGGACAAATCTTTTTGTAGAAGTCAGCGCCATCATGTCTCGTACTCCAGACTAAAGCTCTGTCTCCCCCTACAGACGGACCAAGGCAACCGTGGTGGTCTATTGGAAGGACAACACGGCTGCGATGAATGTACGAGGTTCGGTCACCGTCTTTCCTATCTTCGCCATCATGCTACGTCAAGCACGGTAAATAGGGCACTGAGCTGATCGTACTGGTACGACAGCGAACAGATCGATAGTGAGAGAGGCTCAGATGCTGCCTTTTGTTTTACATATAAAGTGTTTCTCATTTCCGTCTGCCAGTCGTGAAGACACATTTGGAAGTACACAGAGTGTTGTAAACTACCTTGTCCACCACGACACAACGCGCTTTACTGCGGTTTGGATAATGCCGAAAGACTGTTTCAACAGAAGTCCTTATCATCCTCTACAACTAACACTCAAAGATGAACGCACGCTCTTAGAGCTCGAGAAAGACCTGGTCGAGGACACTTTCCGTAAGTATGAAGAGTTTGTTACGAGCAGCTCACAGGTAAATACTGCCCGCTGGAATCATGTCAAATCCAAGGACGACCTCCACATCTACGTCAAGCGCACCAAGACGACAACGGAAAATAGACGACCTTATCGATGCAACCAACAAACAGAAAACGAATGCAGGAAAAAGCCCATAGTGCTCAGCGTTGGGACGTTCAAAGGACAGCTAGATGACCTCATGTTCGGCACTGTGAATCCAACGGATGACATTATGCATGTCAAAGCCTCATACGTCCATGATTATAGTGATGGGGCTGTGCTGGCTACGCTTGTGAAACCTACAGCAACCGATCCATTTCGTTCTGTGACGGTCAAGTGGCTACGAATCAATTTGCCTCTGAGCAACACAAAGCTTACCAAAGACCGGGATTTCCTCTGTCTTGAGGCCTCGGGCATCTTGCATTTTGCAAACGGTGAACGAGTTGGCTATCTAATGCTGCACTCTATTGACTCACCGCAAGTGCAGCCATTACCAAATATCGGTGCGTGCCAAACACACTATTACAGGGTTTCTTCCGGCAAATCGCTCCAAATGTTATCGATACGTTTGCCTTTGACTCAGTTGATCCCGGCGGTAATATCATGGAATCACTGCTGTTGTCTGTGTGTGCCAATGCGCTGCTGTCGGCTACAAACTACGTCGAGTGCGGGCTGATGAAAAAACTGACGTGGATACTGCAAAAGCGCCAGGAATCACTGCGTGAGTGTAACTTGGCTCCGGTGCTGCGCCATGAAGACATCTGTATCACGTGCAACCGTGATCTTCAACCATGTTGTGTCAGGAATTGGTGGAAGGATAAATGCATGATGTGTTTGGGTGGGTTATGCTTTGGATGCAAGAAAGTGAAGACTATTAGCTTTCTTTCACCAGGTCGAAAACTAGTACGACAAAAGATCATCTTTTGTGGTGCGTGTGTTACAATGGGCACTCGAGTGAGCGCTTTGGACGCAGCACGCGACCAAGCTAATGGTTATCAGCCCTACACTTCTACGATTTAGGTTTATTTCGATCAACCGTATGTTGATCATATAGTTTAGTGTCGTATCAATTACATTCAATCTTGTTTATTGCCTGGTCGATAGCATATTGAAATGAATCCATTGAAACATGGATAAAGCCTTTGGTGTCACAAACAGAGACTGAGGTACCCCGTCTCATACGAAATGTTACCTCCCTGACGGTTATTGCTATCGATAAAAAGAATCTGTAAAAAAAATAAAAGTTACTGCTATTGTTGAGAGCTGTTTGGATTGTAAACTATGTAACATGTTTGCAGGAAGGTTTATCACGAAGTTCGCGCCGCATTGGGAGTCGACAATACATTTAAGTTACCTTTTAAATGAAATCACGATAGCGCTGCCTTATGGAAAGATGTTAGAATAAGTTGTGCATGCCTGATCAAGCTAAACGGTCTAGTGATGAACGCTAACAGACATCATTTTAATCACACGTCGCTCGGGATCAGTGAGGAACCTCATTGGTCCGATCGGTGACGTCGAGAGCTGCAGCTTGATCGCGACCTATTACCGGTTTGTGCTGATACCAAGTTCTGCCTTCAGCAAAATGGGCTCAACGTTCGGGAAAAATTGTTCTTAGACCGCGCTACAGTAACCAGCAGCAGACCCGGCCGGACCAACAAAGAAGCCACAGTCAAACGTCAAGATTACCGAATACCAACACCAGACCATGCGAAACTACACATCAAGACAAGATGACGCTTAACAAGATGACGCAGCCAAAGGAGACGCGGGAAGAGCAACGGATGGGGTGCGTTCCATAAAACGCCGGATACATCGCAAGGGAGAAAATCAGGGACGACGACAACGAGAGAACAGATTAGCCGCTAGGGTTCAAACGCGACGCTGTGGAACCGATACATCCACCTCGAGAAGCCACAGTAAGGATAAACTAAACAGGAAGCATCACCGAGAAAGAGGAACAACGTAGTTAGAGGAAGCACCAGAAACGTAAGGTAGAAAATAGAGCAATGAATTATCAACGGCGGCCAACTGTGAAGTAGAACCATAGGAGTAAATACAGCAAAGAAGGTCGACTAGAAAGAAGCCAGCAAACCGATGCAAAGGCAAAGCTGAATCCAACTGGGGCCCCAGGCAATGACAAGGCGTACCAGAATCGCCAAGTCAACTTCGGGTGTCTTGGGTGATTATACTTTCGCCCTCGTCTTCGTCAGGGCTGCGATTTCTGTTGCTTGATCGGTGTCACTTTGCAGCTCGACTTGCTGGCTGGACTGCGTTTCTGTCGGTTTTCTTTTTCTTATAAGCTTGTCGCTCACGGTTCTTGTAACACGTTTACACAGAGGTGTGTATTGTACATACACACCTGCCCACACCATTGTAATTTGGTTGTACCTTGGGTACAGTAGTAGGTTGATGTGACCGTACCGCAGGTACGAAGGGTCACATCGTAGCAGAGAGCCACGTTTGGTTAATATACTTAGTTAAGTACAGTGACTATACATGTTTACATATTAATAGGCTACAGAGCCGGATGAATAGTGACAGCACTATTTATAGCGTAGGTGCTTCTATATTTAATGCTAAGAGGTAAACATTATTATATCAGTTTTAAACCTGCTATGAATAGCACAAGTGCAAGAGCGTTCTATTCCTTCAAAAGGAATTGTATCTTTGATACTGTTCTCTTGGAGACGTGGTTGCTTGCAACCAAAGGCATAATCTTTTGAAGCTAGCCTTGGGAGGGTTAAGAGCCCTAAGACACACAGCTCTTGGAGCTAGTCTTCCTCTGCACTTAGTGCATAAGTAGCCTTGCTACAGTAGCTCTGTGACACCTGATAGAACTTGTAGTCAATCCCCCCTCCTAGTTCTGTGACTACTTCTTTGTGTAAGAACGGACATCGAAGGGATGTCCGCGGGCGGCCTGTCACAGGCACAACAGGAAGGGTTGCAAAAGCTGCTCCCTATTCCTTGGCCCTAAGGGCGTGGAATACCTCATCGCCTAAGGCGAAGAAGAGGTTAATAAGCGTATTCATATGCTTGAAGAGTATAATAAAGCTCTAGTCGAGCATGTAAAGGCACAGATGCCTCTTCTGCGCCTTCGCCCATGGCGACTGGCGCAGGAAGTTGTCCGCAGACCAAAACCCATACAAACGGAAGTCGATAAGCTCGACGGCAAGGAAGGTGACAACCTTAAGCTTTGCTCCGACAGGTATAGTCGGCTATGTTTATAGCTGACATCACCTATGAACCGTACCATGTTGGTTTTGCCACGGGTAAGTTGGGTGGCTTCTCCAAACAGTGGGCGTTCACACGCGGTGCATCACCGCAAGATTCATTCCCAACATTGGCCGATCTGAAAGTTCAGATGACCCGGCAGTATGCACCGCCAAACCAAGCACACCGTAACCGGTCGCGGGTTTTGACGTGTCGCCAAGGCAAGCGTGAGCTTGCGGCATATGTGGAAGAGTTGAGATTTCTCATTGCCGCCATGGTCATAGACCCTATGTCTGAGGCAGTGACCGTCAAGGACTTTATGGAGGGCCTCCGAGTTGGCGTTATCAGAACGGGAGCCTTCCGAATAAGGCTGTCCTCATTAGAGGAAGCTGTTGGAGTGGCATGGAATGCCGAGACCAACTTGAAGGCCGTTAGGCTTACCACTTATAACTACTCGTCTGATGGATCTGTTCCGATGGACTGTAGTCATGTGAAAGCTGAAGAAGCAGAGCTTCATCCTGCGGAGTTGGAAATTGTGCGTAGATGTTATATCTTCCGGAGCACAGACCATTTGATGCCAAAATGCCCTGCAAGAAAGGCATGTTTGGCCTCGAACGGTTGACGCCCTATGAATAAACCCTCTGGTTTGCCGCAGTGCGCCCTACTGGGGAGGAACTGAGTTCTGTTGAACCTCTAGGAGGTAGAAGTAAGCAGGTACCAGCCCTAAAAGAGACCCGAACGCTCAAAAAAAGGAACGAGAATGCAAGCCAGGCTTGCTGGTCGTCGAGGGAACGGTCAAGGGCTTTGATAAGCCATGGACAATTTTTAACGATTAGGGGGTATCGGACAATTATGTGCGCCGTGCCACCGTAGAAGGTAGTCAGCAGTATGCTGAAGCGCTTAGATCGCGTGAGAGTGACACAGTAACGGTTCGCTTAGCGACGGGTACGCGTGTTACGGTACCAAAGTCCCGATGAACTTAAATGTAAGGTTCGTGGACTTTAACAGCATGGAACGCTGTTTGGTCTTGGACCTGGATGCGAGGTATGATCTCATCCTAGGCATGGAATGGCTAGAACGTCATGAGCCAAGACTTGATTGAAGGTAGAGTCCCTTAGGCGCAACGCGCAATGCTCCCTAGTGGGGCTCTGAAGAGTCATGAACCCACCTCTGCTTGGAAGCAAAGAAATTTTGGCGTGGAATTTGAACCGAGTCGGTCGATATGTTGGATGTCGGGTTATCCGAGTTAGTAGACACTGTAAGTGGCGAGGACAATAGTCCTGGGCGAGGTAAGGACTGTCAGTAGTGTGTCTGACAATCCACTAGATGACACATATGATATGTGTCATGAGAATGATAATATATCAGTGATACGCCATGAGTGGTGTTGGTGTGGCTGCAAGCGAAGATGTCAGGACACGAGCCCAAGTGACATAGATGACAAGTTACTGACCCTAGAGGGTCGGGTGAAGTCACAAATGGATGTTGTATTTGAGTACAACAAGGCGCATGCTCCTAACGACGAGGCTACCCAGGGTCGGGTAAAGTCAAGAATGACGGTTGTTCATAAAAACCGAGGTGCAACATAGGTGGAGCGTTTCAAGAAATATGTGACCCCAAAATCTAGCGAACCGGAGAGAAAGAGAGCCGCAGAAGAAGCAACATTTAGACGACGGACCAATGGGAAAAGCTACCAAGAAGGGAAGCGACCGTTGGATGAGCAAAATACCGGTCAAGACCACTGCCGAGGTACCAGTTCGCCGGCACTGATCGTAGTGGACCGCGGTTTCACATCAGCAGAACGCGATCGTCATGGTGGACCTCGGTCCTCTAAGGGCCCTGGTCCTTATTCAGTCAACCTAGGTCCCTCAAGGTAGACCTCGGTGTCTCAAGATGGACCGTGTCCCTTGAGGTCGATCCTGGACCCTCGTCGGTCGACCTCGGTCCCTCAAGGTCAAGCTAGACCAGCCAATCAGCATCAGGATTTGGGTTTCATAGCAAGGACAAAGATTGGACTATATTACAAACTACTTAATTTGCAATCTACGTGGCACGACTTCGTCACGCTTATAAGCAACTTGGTAAGTCCACCCACCTGTGAAGGAAGAGATATATTCTGACCCCACGTCGACGACAGTCTTGTAGTAAGCCTCAAGTGTGAAGAGAGCCCCAACAAGATATTTGGACTGTGGTTTCGTCAGAGTAGCACCCTCCCCCCAATCGACTATCGGAAGCGGCCATCTTACCTTAGTGGTTTGGGAGCAAGTAAAGACCAGGCGGTTTATGCTCCTGAGATAATAAAGGTAAAGGCCAGGTAGAGAAGCTTCCGTAAGATTTGATTATGAGTTCACTATCGATCAAGTCGACCGAGTGGCCACCTACTAGCCTACCGAGTAAAATGTATCCACTCGAGTCACCCCAAGGTCGACCTATATCAAGACCAACATCTACATCTTCACTAAGTCTTCTGAAGAGTGCAATCCACCAGCCGTCGGGTACACAAGGTGAGAGAAGTTCTATACGCGGAATCGGGGTAAAGTCACCAGGTCCCGGCGGAGCAGTCGTCACGAGAGTCATCTGCTACTAGTGATCGCGGCCAGTGTGGTCCACACACAATAGATATTCCACGCCAGTGGTCTCATTTTTTCGACTTCGCCACAATCTTACCATGTACCGCTGGCTGACATACAATGTTAGTCCAGCTGTGCATCCAATTGTCGTTACCACACCCAGTCACTTCCACACAAAATATCTCCGCTTCGTCATCATGGTCGTCTCCTCGCTTCCTGTCATTTCTTTCGATCTCT